TCACAGATGCATCTTATGAATGGCAAATTTTAACCTGAACTGTCATGGTGAAAAAAAACATCAATATGGTGTAAAAAAAAATGTCTCCACGCCCATGTGCAAATGCATGTTTTTTTTGTGATGTGAAAATGTGAGACTAAAAAGTACTTTGAAAGCATTTTTTCCACCATGAATGTGACCTTTTAATCTCTACAATTGAAAAACGTGAAAGAGAGAGGAAGTGAAAACGAAACAAATGAGGTTTGGCGGACATCCTTGCAAAAGAAAATTGGTCAGAGACACCGCCAAGAGGCCGACAGCAGCACTTGAAGGAGACGCAGGAATTTCTGGCGAGTGCTGGCTACATGTGACAACAATCTCCTTTCTTCTTCATATGTCCTGGCTGTGTGGGAAAATGTGTTTTCCACTGTTGAAACCAAGGTTAAACGTTTTGTATGTCATTTCAAATGGTATTATTGGTATAAATTAAACATTGCTCATTACAAAAAAAACCACCAGAACGACAGGAAAGCATGGTGGTGGCAGCATCACGTGCAACCACCATAAGAAAACTATATTGTTTATTTTAATTCAAATGGTATTATTGACGCAAAAACTAAACATTGCTCATTACAAAAAAAAACAACAAAAAAAAAAACAATGGAAAACGTTTTGAAACCATTTATCCCGGTCCCTGTTTCGCTCGGCACCTTGATAACAAGTCATGAGCCATACGGTGACGCGTGAAGCCATATGACTTGGGTGCTAGCTTTTGATTCCAATGTCTGTCATCATTGTTCGACCGTATAAAACTGAAATTATGATCCCCAAGCACTTTATTAAATTTCAAACTCAATTTATATGACTCTTCATGATAAATGGCTTCCAAATGATTCAAATTTGGGGAAAAAAATGGCAAAGTTTGTCCATAACGTCCACTAACAATCCAGATTAAATTGACTAAATCGATTCCTACTTTCCAGTTAGCCAGAGCTTCAGCACCGTCTTGTGGCTTCTTAAGACATTACAGGAAGAGCAGAAAAATATCGAAATAGACAAGGAGAGATGCCACCTTAAAAAAAAAGAAGATGTGAATTTGTAAATGGTGAACGTTGACGAGGCAAGGATTGTCGGTAGTTCCTAGATTTGTTTGTGACCTTACAAAAAAACAAAAACAAAAACAAAACAGCCAATTTTACCTCTTTCTTTGAGCTAAGCGTCATGGCAAACATGTTTCACCGTGAAGATGACGTGGGAAGATGTCAGCTCTGGTGATCATCTTTTCCTCTTTTGGATTTATTTAATTTGGCTTACCTGATGGCGCAAACAATCCTCATTCCCACTCATCTCAGCAAAAGCATGCAGCATGCTAAATAACAACAGTGTCTCCAAAATCCCCCCCCCCCCCCCCCCCCCCCCCCCCTCCCCCATCATTCCGTTTCACGAGAGCCAGCTCCTCGCTCTTAATACTCTTAGTCCCTCTCTTGGCATGTTTTCCAAGAACTGGCTGTATTTCCACGTCTATGAACGCCATCAAAATGCCTGTAATGAATATTCGTGCAGCCCCGAGTGTATATCTTGAGCCATTTGACCCGCTCGAAGCCGCCGTGCGCGAGATCCGCCGCCTGCGTTTGTCAGAGGTCAAATTCGTCTGCTGCGGCAGCAAATGTTTACATGCGCCGTACAATTGCCACGGCAAATTTGACCTTCTACTCGAAATAAGACGGCATTGTTATTCATGTTTACAGGAGTGCTTGATAGAAGAGTCTGACCACCGACAGAATAATTTCCAGGCCTTTGGGACATTTGCTTCCACTTGCAATTTTCATTTCACGCCAGTTTAACTGTGCTGACAAATATCGGTGGAATTTGCCGGAGGTTATCAATTTAAAGAATTGAATTGTCATCTCCGTTATCGTCTTAATGGCAGAGCTAGGCGCACAGCGACACATTTCGTTCTGTACTGCAAAATATGTCCCAGTGAAAACATTTAAAATGCCATTTTTGATCACACATTTTAAAGGCGACATTTTATGAAAGGTTATTTTTTTATTTGCTAATGCCCGAACAAAAGTGTGAAATTAAACAACCATTGAAAACATTTCGCTGTATGCTTATTTTTGAACATACTGTATGTCTTTGAACAAGCAGTTCTGAATCTTGCCAAATGGTGAGGTCACAAATAGACCGCTGACTTGGCAGCTAGTCAGGACAGAGTTTTGCCACTTTCAAGCCACAACGGTGTTTCAAACACTATCACGCCAAAGCCAAAAGGTAAGCAGAGCTGTACTGAGTTTTGTCGGATGCACTAATTAGTGTTGGTGATAGCGGTCAATTATATAATAGGTAACGGATGTGTGAAGTGTGAAAATGCTTCTTTTTTTTTTTGTGTGTGTGTGTGTGCTCCCTTTTTTCCAACACCGGATATGATAGGTAACGGATGTGTGAAGTGTGAAAATGCTTTTTTATTTTTTTTGTGTGTGTGTGTGTGTGTGTGTGCTCCCTTTTTTCCAACACCGTGCATCGCTTTCATCAAGTAGAAGCTGCCTCGCAGCAACCACTAGCTCCGCCCCTATCGTCATGGTTGCAAAAGCTGTACTTACCATTAGCCCAAACGGGCCGAGTCCTGTCTCGCTTGCATGAGACTGGGCTGCCCCCTCAAAACAAGCTAGTTTTAGCAAGAAACAATGTGTAAAATGTTGCTAATTCTACGTTGGAAAAATAAAATAAATGCGTTCTTGGTCGATAGCTAGAATTTGCATTCATTTAAGCACACACACACACACACACACACACACACACACACACACGTCTACATATATATATATGATGATTTGCCAGATAGTACATACTTGCACAATAAATAGAAATTCACATTTTGGCCACCGTATGAGTCTTTTTGGAATTGGCATTGAATTTGCAAATTGCAAATAAAACCGTGATTCTGTTATGCATTTGCAAAGAACTGATGAGGTAACAGAACATACCTGTAACATGAGTCTTCTTGTAACATGGTAATACCATTGGTCACCTTTTGTGTTTTAAGGTTCTTGTTGTTGTTGTTGTTTTCAACTCTTAAAATTCCAAGGCCACGAGTGTGCCCTCAATTAGTCGCGGTAGCCCCAAAGTAATTGATTTTTTTGTGAGTCGAGAAAGAAGAAGAAGGGTGGAGTGGGGCCACCGCTAATGTGAGAAGCCAACAAATGGAAGGGCTGACAGAATAATTGGAACGAGCAATTTAGCCTTGCTTTATAGAGAATTTGTCTGAGTGATAAGTAACTCAACATTCGCATTTCTCAATCACAACACAAACATAGCTACTTTGAAAAAATAAAATAAGAAAAATATCTGTTTTTAGAGATCCACGGTGGGCACAAGCACCTTGCTGGACGGGCATGTCTGCTTTTTTTTTTTTTTTTTTAATGGGGGGGGGGGAGTAAAAATGCTTTTTAAAACTTTTTCAATGTGGAAAAAATGTGTGCATATCTTTTTTGTTGAACTAATGTACATAACACTATGGTTAAAAGATCCAGCCTTCCACAACAAAGGCTTTGCGCGATCTAAAAATAACCACTCACAGCAATTTTTTTTCCCCTCCCCTTTTTCCCAGTGCAAAAGGCTCTTGTGCATAAAATTTACCATTCAAGTTTGGTACTGCTGAACGACAAACCAACAAGTCCAAGAAATCATTTGATGCAATTTGCACAAGAATCAACTCACTCTAAATTCTAATATCATTCAGATACTGCCCATTATTCCTCATCCCCAAATGATTAGGCCTATTCACATTGTGATATAGTGGCAATTGCACCTAAGTAATGTCTGCCAATGGTGATATTACATCTTAAAACTGAGGAAACACGTTTATCACCCGCCCCCACCCCGCCTATAAAAACAAAAAAAAAAGGTCAATGATGCTTTTTGTACAACTTGCTACGATTTTTTTCAAAGTACATGTTGCATGATGACATGCTACATTTAATGACCCCTGATGATATTTGACACTGGCGCTCTCATGACTCCTTGATGTCTGTGACTGTACAAAAAAAAAAAGGTCCGTCCGGTCGGGGTGCGTACTCAACGAGTGTTGGGGGACTAGATAATGAAGCATCTCAGGTGACTACACGCAGGGATTACCAGTTTGTTGGCATCATATGGCACACACATACGTCGTTCCCATTACACACACGCACACACATACACTGGAGAGATCCTTGGTTATCACAGCCTTCCAGATTGTTCTCAACTACTTATGGAAAACACACACATCTCAAGATGTGGCCACTCGTGCCAATACGGGCCCAGCGTTAAGAACAGTTGTCGTGGTGGTGTGATTTTTTTTTTTTTTTTTTTTAGCATCTCTAAATTTTGAGCGTTGCTAAGGTGCTTTGGGAGAGGATTAACAGAGGCTGGCGCCGATGAGCAAGCCTTGCAGATTTCCAAGCAGCAGGAGAAAGGACAAAGGAAGACGGCGTAAGAAAAGGAGGCGGAAGAGCAGGCATGAAAATAATGCGAAGAGCTTGTGTAAACACGATGACTTGAGGTAAAGAAGGTAGCGACTAAACAGGTATCCGAGACAAGAAGTGTCAACTCGATTTACATTGAGTTACATTCCACTCGTTTTTTTTTTTTGTTTTTTTTTAATTTCGCCACAGAAACTCGTGTCACATGACTCTGTTTCACCAATCCAACTTGGGGTCATATTTGACACCCCAGTCCTGACCGCTCAGAATCTCTCTGGCCTCACACACACACACACACACACAAAAAAAAAAAGTTTTTGTTGAATTTTCTTCATTAATTTTGTTTCAGTTGCATTAAATAAAATCATCTCAATCAAGATGCAATTTATAAGTAGACTCTTACGAAAAAAACACAATTACACCAGGATTTATTGTCTGACCATTATATCCTGCATGACAAATAAATGACGATCCTTGTTTAAAGACTATCCAGACAAAAGGCAGTACAGTGACTCATTTAGCATGTCTGTCGAGGGTTTTATGCAAATAATAATAATAAATCATCATCATCAATTTTTGGTGCACAAAAGCCACACGAGAACTAAATCACCTTTGGGCGTATCGCGATGAGTTGGAATCAACTCTTCCTCCCGATGAGACGTTTTCCCAATTGCCCTTATCGCTATCGCCTCTCCATTTCTTGTCTTTGACTTGATTCCCTCCCTCAAGGGCAACACCAGTTTCCCATCCAGCCCTCATTATCTTTTTTTTTTTCTCCCAAGCTCGGTCGCAACTTCAAACGGTGACGATGTTGGGGTCACGCCGAGGTGCCTGAAGCATTAGCGGCTGCCGTCTCAGGTGTGCATCTCCCAGCGCGTCCTTGATGACACCTTTTTCTTTTTAATTAGCCGCAGCGAGAATTATAAAAGGTCTGCCTGCAACACTTTTTTTTTTTTTTTGTGATTATTGACCCGCTCAGGAATTCTTTCATAACATGAAGCCCAATTACAGCCGGACAGCCACTCGGATCTCGGATGTAACCGTGTGCATGTGTGCATGTGTGGGTATTTGTGTTGTTAGTTTGAATGAATCCTCACATGGATTTGAAATCTCCATTAACTGAAGATAGGAGAAGGACGAGGAGGTGGAAGTTGTTTCCAACGCTTCTTTTTTGAATTCTCTCCTCAGGGTCAGCTTCTCAGGTGGAGTGCAACCAGATACGAGCCGTTTGCAGGATTCAAGGCACTTGACCAAGGGCCAACACCGCTCCTCCCTACCAGGCTCAGATTACCCCCCGCCTTCATTCACTTTCCTTGAGTTATGGCCGCCGGTGTGTTCCGAGGTCTTTGCGTGGATTGTCCCTATCCGGTCCGCCCTGACTCATGGGAGCGCTCGTGACAAAGTGCACCGGCGGATGTCTTTCACCCACCCATGCTTAGAATTACTCATCTGATCAGACGGCATCAGCGCTCCACGGCTGCCCGGGTCATACAAGCCAAGCCCCTGGGGGCCAAGCAGCTAATTACAGGCTTCTGCGGCTTCTTTCACCACCGACAATATCAGCGTGAGAGAAGAAGCCACTATAGGACAAAGAATCGTGACATCAGTAGGTCAGTAGTGACTACGAAGACTACCAAAGCTGACACACACAACCCACTGAAACACACTCTGGCCAATCACAGTGCAGCAAACGACAGATGTCTTTCCTGGCAGTCCTCTGTTGAATTCAGTGATACATTGTCAGATTTTGCCCCGTTAAAGGAGGCATTTTATGTTTTCTCCCCCCCCCAGATTTTATAACAGATTCCGTCTGTCTCCGGCTTACTCGTACATTCCAAAAACATGCATGGTCGGTTATTCAAAGACTCTAAATGTTACGCTGCTGTGCGTGGTTGTTTATGTATTTGTGCCGTGCAATTAAATGGTGACCAATTGAGGTTGTAATCCACCTTTTGCCTAAAATCACCTGGGATAGGCTCTGTTATTTGAGTGCATTATATATTGTGTGATAAATGGTATCCACCACTTTTACACTTGTGCAATCTGTTAAAGTGGGAACACGCCATTTAGCTCCCGCTATTTAGGATTTTAGTTCAGGATCACAATCTCAGTAGATAACACACAATAGCCATCAACAGCATGCACAATCTGTTCCACGCAATTTGGTGGATGCTTCTTGGTATCTTTGTATATCAGGCCCTTAGAACCCAGTCACTCTGACAAGATTGGAGATTTTGGATAAAGTTGTCCTGTCCTATTTAAAAAAACAAAAAAGAAACCCACCAGTTTCAGTTTTTTTTTTTTTTTAATTCTCATCCTCATCCCACCTGTAAAGTATGGTAACTGGAGACATCCTAGTTTGGGACTGCTTTGACTCCTCAGGGCCTGGACAACATTTCTGTCAATAGGAAATGAAATCCCAAGTTCATCACGACATTTATTAAAGTAGATCTTAAAGAACCATCTGTCTGCCAACTGAAGCCAAGAATATTGTTGAACCAAAACAGTGTCATAAAGAGGAATGGTCCAAAATCCTCCTGGACTGTTGGCCAGGTCTTACTTGCAATTGTAAGAAACATTTGGCCGAGGTTATTACGCTTACAGAGGCTTAATCAGTCATTAATTACAGAGGTTCACATACTTCCTCCCTCCTGCGCTGCGACATTAAGATAGTTGTGTTCAGTAAAACCACGAAACAATCATTTGTGCTTTATTAGTTTTAGAAAACTTAGTTAGCCTATTGTTGTGACCTAATCTAAACGTAGATTCAATCATATTTTATGACCGATTCATGTCGAAAGTCCAGTAATTCCGAAGTGTTCGCAAATTTTTTCTTGCAATTGTAGGCTAAGTAAATCACTATTGAAACCATGAAATTAATCAGCGAACTGGACATTAATCACATGCACGAGCAGTAGTGGTCAGGCGTATAACAATGCCGTTTGATTTAAATGCATACCTCCACACTGCGTTAATGATGCCACCCAGGGCCCGACCAAGCCACTCTCAAACAATAATGTACTAAGTGTCAAGCAATTTCCCCGTGTGTCGTTCAGCAATGTGCTGCTCCAAGTGGCAGGGGGTTGGTGCGTGATCTGTTTCCTCATCGGCTGAGCCGAAATTACTCTTGTACTTTACTTTGTTTAGTTCATTTCTTCTCCAACCAATCGAAAGCTCTCCAGAAAGTTTGGTTTTAAAAAGAAAATAGTGATTGTAGAAACTGCGTATGTGTAACAGTGGGTAACAAAGTTAAAAGGAAGTGGAGTAACTCATTGCATGTGATTGCGTCCGTCTTTTAAATGTACCTTAAAGTGGTGTACTGTATTCTGTCATTCGGTGTACCGGTACTTTGGGAGGACATCTGACTACTATTGGCTAAGGGTTGCAATGTAAGACTCAACCTCTGGATACATTCTGGATACACTGGATATGAATGGGTGGCCCGATGGACCAGTGGTTAGTGCGTCGACCTCACAGTGCAGAGGTAGAGGGTTCAATTCCAGCTCCAGCCTCGCTGTTTAGAGTTTGCATGTTCTCCCCCCTGGCCTGCGGGGGTTTTCTCCGGGTACTCCGGTTTCCTCCCACATTCCAAAAACATGCATGGCAGGCTGATTGAAAACTCTAAATTGTCCCTAGGTGTGAGTGTGAGCGTGGATGGTTGTTCGTCTGTGTGTGCCCTTGCGATTGGCTGGCAACCAGTTCAGGGTGTCCCCCGCCTACTGCCCGAAGACAGCTGGGATAGGCTCCGGCACCCCCCGCGACCCTTGTGAGGATAAGCGGATCGGTAAAAGGATGGATGGAGGGATGGATATGAACGTGTGATGCGAATCTTTATTGCAAGCGTGCTATTATTCATGTCAAACCAGAAGTCGACTATTACGCAACAACCCTCCTCAGTGTGCCAATACTCGGCCATTAATAATACACAAGGGTCGCAGCTGATTAAGTACACACCACATTGCACTTGCTTAAAATATACTCTCCACAAACAGATACACAATCCACATTACATACATGTACACAATCCTATGAGATCCTATCCAGGTGCTGCTATCAGAGATGCTGTCAATTTTTTAATCAACACTGTCAACGAGGAATTAATGTATTTTTTATTGATGTGGTGCAGAACTGCGCCCGCATCATAATGAAGCGCGTCTCTAATACTTGGGTTAACTTACACTATTTGGTAACACGAGAGGGACAAAATATTAGACCCGGCTCCCGGCGCGATGTCGGGCTGTTCAAATGCAACTATAATAATAGGCATAGTGATGGATGAAAATGGACATTTAAGTACAGAGTTTCTGCTGCGTCTTCGTAGCCGCGTAAGCAGCCGCACTGCTGCATTTAGATTTTTTTACACTTCTCAGTGAGCTGTGGAACGTTTGCTGCTTTTGCTGCGCTCTCGGGCTTTGCGTGGATTGTCTGAGCGCGATGTCCCGTGACCTATGCGAGTCCGACGCCCGGTTCTGATAGACTCATATCACACATGACAGGGAAACCCAAGCCAGGGCCTAATTAGCCGGCGGGCTCGAAACGACGCGGGGAGACTGAAAATCAAAACTTTATGAACATGGCTTCAACCCAGCTTATTTATTCATGGGGATAATTAGAGAGGACTTTGGAAACAGAATGATATGCCAAGTTCCCAATGACCAACCGGGCTGCCTTGTTGTTGCCAAATTTGACACCTTCCCCGGTTCACCCACCTGTCCAGGTATTCCAGTCATCCAGTCCAAACCTTGTCAGGTGGAAGAAAGTCTATCCCAGGGCAGAGTTGGGAGTAAGTCTAGCCGATGGTGAGGTGCAAGAGGAGGGAGGAGGGGGTTTGGAGACAAGGGGGGCAGGTAAAGGCGTGGGATCGTATTCGGGCTCCTGGGGACAGGCGGCTTGGCGTGGCACCACACTGCCCACCCAACATCAACCCTCTCAGGTTCCCAGGCTCAGATGGGCCTGATAAACACTCCACAGGGACCATCTGGAGGCAGCCAGGAAGGCCGCAGGGGCTGGACATATTTGATTTCAATTCAACCAGTGGCCATTTTGCATTTGTGGCCAAGTGACGCAGTGCCCTGGAAGAATTTCTTTGCAGTTTTTATTGTATTCATCATACAGATGTGCACGGCTGGTAAATCGTAAATTAGTGATGCTGTGTTTTTTTTTTAGCATATTGAAGTAGCACTTTAACGTGATTTTGTGATCGTGTTATGTTGGTGCGTAGCGATAAATGAAAGCAAAACTTTATCAACTAAAATATCAACTTGAACGAGACGGGGTTTGACAACTCAAAATGTGTTTTATTTTTTCGTGGAAAGGAATGATTTTGACGATATGAGGATTCTGCCCCTCTGCGATGATACGCAACACTGTATCACATCTATGACATCTTTGTGTCATGTATGTATTATTTCCAAATTCCAAACGGCCCAAGTGAAATCGGTGCTAATTTGCGCAATGTAAATCTAGACGTTTGGTTGACGTAAATTCGGCAAGAGTGCACTTGAGGCCGTTTAATAACAATTTTCCACGGCTTCCCCTATTTTCTGTGTTTCAGGTGTGTGTGCACTCTATCGCGGTAACGAGTGGAAAGCACTCCCACGGCAGGATATTGCGTGTTCCTAACGACATGTCTTGGTGGCGTTAACTGCGGTGCACATCCATCTCTTTGGCATTAGCGTGATGGATGTATTTTTCATGCCGCCATTAGGACCCAAACGCTGCGTCGGTCGAGCCTCGGTTTTATGCTAATGCGCTCTCTCACACCTGCAGCTTGCAATTACCCGCGGAGGAGCCGGCACCGAGGCTTCACCGGTAATAATATGAGCAATGGCAAAATTGCACCAGTACTATTGAAGAAAATTGAGAAGAGGAAGATGGAGAGCCAGAAGAAATGGGGGGAGGACCCGGGTGGAAAGTGAAGGGGAGAACAATGAAAAGGCTTCGCTTAATTAGCCTTGAAATATCTGTCATCCTCCCACTGGGCCGGCGACTTTTACACTTGAGCAAAACCACTGTGGTCGACTACCCTTCACTTACAGCATTCAACAGGTCGAACGGCACCTCTGCTTTCTCCGCCTCTCGCTGTCTCTGAATCACCTCATACTTGACCACGATCGGTCGTGGTGGACAATTTGTACGCTTCCCAGATATGGTCACGCTCAGTCCTTCAGTGGAAGTACAGATATTTATGTAAAAATAATACGTTGATACAAGTGGAGGTACTGATTCTTTATTTCGAAAAGGTAAAATCAAAGGTGTGTGTGTGTGTGTGTGTGTGTGTGTGTGTGTGTGTGTGTGTGTGTGTGTGTGTGTGTGTGTGTGAGTCCGATCACATGCAGCAAGAGAACCTGAGGTGGCGGAGGGTGGGGGGGCCCTCAGGGCTGCCGGCCTCGATAACAAGGGCCGTAAAATCAATCACCTCCTTTGACAGCCTTATGTGTAGCCCCACCTCTTTATTTCCCATCTTTCTCTTCCCGGCCTGCAGATGTTTGAGACAACACACAAACTCAAATGTACTGAGTGAAACCTCTGAGGTTGAACGCGATCCATTCTGGAATGCTGGTCACCTTCCAATTTGTCTGACGTTCTCAATAGGAAATGTTGACAATGGTTTTCATTCAATGCGATCGGTTGGTGGACGATGGATTCCGTCGTAACACTCATGAGCGCAAGCGCTTTTGAAAATGGATGTTTGAAGGGATAAAACTTTAATAAGTGTCAAAATAAGATGAAGCACTGTAAAAGAATTGAGTACAACTTTGATCAAAACCAATGCTGGAGAATTTTATGCTCCGTATAAGTATAAAAAGGTGTTCGCCATTTATATTAGTTTGACATACAAACAATCAAACACTGGGTCATTTTTTTTGTTGTTTTTTGTTTTTTATTATACAGGTAGTATAAAAAGTCCCTGCAAAGAGAAATTTTACTGTCATGTTCTGTGTGTTTGTGTTTCAGTTCCAGCTGGAGTGGAGGGCGTTTCTCTCCAGCAGGCGCACCTGTTCCGCATTTCCAGTCAAGCCTGGCTTAGTCGTTAGTTGTTCAGTTGCCAAGGCTTTTGTTGGATTATTACTCACTGTTGTGCTTCAAGTGTTATTTTATTTGATTTTTTTTTAGACCTCTCGATGCTATTCGTAGTCGCTCTCATTTTGTTCATCGATCCATGTTTGTTAGTATTATCGTTCTTTTATTATTGCTCTTGACCTTTGTGCAATTGGACTCATGGTATTTCGTTTGTATATTCTCGGTGTTACCTTTTGCAAACGCTTTTTGTTTATGCATTGTTTTGGTTTTTTTTTCCTGGCTCCTTTTGACCAGCGATTTGTACTTTGGCGGTGTTCAAATTTGCTGTTGAACAGTGTAATTGCTGAAAATATGCAAAAGATTGAGAACTACGTAGAAGTAAATCGTAGTTCTCAGGGGGGGGCTTAAATATAAATAAAGACTCCTTCCGGATAAAAAAAATTCTGCTCCTCACATCACAATAGTAGTGAAATTTGATTCACAGTTAAAATGGGCACGTTTTCACCACATTCAGTGGACGCGCCCATAATGCACTGTTGAAGAGTGGTGACAAGTTTTTGATTTTTTTTTTCTTTTTCGCCAATTTGAAGCACATAATGGACATTCTTCTCCGTGATTGTATCCAGGGTCTGTAAGAGAGAGGCTATTTGCCACTGAAGTCTCTCCCCCCCCCCCCACCACCAAAAAGTTCAATAAAAAAAACAACAGAATAATTTATACTATTTACTGTGATATGCAATGTTTTGTTTTGTTGTGTGTTTGTATGATAAGCATCACAGGCAAACCTCAAGTAAGCAGCAAAGTGAACCAAAACGTAACCATGATAGTGACAACGTATGCTGCGATGGACTTTTTGAAAGTGAGTCCAAGGACTTTGCTTAACTTCCTGTGTACTTGGACAATCTTGCATCTTCTCACCTTCTTTGACTCCCTTGTTGTACATACGTGGATGCTTTCTGAACCGACGTCTCAAGTGATGCTGTGTGTGACGTCGTTCGATTCAAACTCGGAAATTTTTGTGTGACTATAAAAATATTTTTTTCTGTGAAAAATTTTGACAAAATGCTGTATTGTACAATTTTGGGCCTTTAGATCTTCCACCTTTAAACAAATTGACACGCATGTGTAAATAGGGAGCACCTGGTAAAGTGCTTGAAGGATTAGCAAGTTGTATGAGTTCGTTACACATGTTCAGGTCAGCTCTGTGACAACACTGTTGTTTAAACACCTCTTCTTAGACGTGTGTGTGTGTGTGTGTGTGTGTGCGCGTGCGTGCGTGCTTGCAAGGGAGGACGGGATGAGGAGGACGAGGAGTGGGGGCGTGGGGGAGCACTAAATCTGCAGAGAGGACTTGGCAGCGGCTCCCCTCTTTCCTTCTCTCGCTTCATTGCTTTGGTCCTACCCAAATCCTATTTCACGGTGCCAAGTATGCGCTCCCTGGGATCTCCTCGGCTCCCATCTCCAGACGCAGGTTTTAAGCCTCTCCTGGCACCGCCGAGGTGGAGGCATGTGACGCACATCCAACCGAGACACCCCCCCTCCTCAATCTGTAAAACCTGGCATCCACGCAGTCTCCCACCTTTCTGGACCGAAAGTCCCTCAAGATGTCACCGGCACGCTCGGTGTCGTTTGACATAAGGTCACAAGTCGTTTGCATGAAGACAAGCTCACTTGCTCTGGAACGAATACTCTTCCGCAGTCTTGTTACGTCAGTCAAGCAAGCTCCCGATCGTCATTAGGCTCATGTCACAGTTAACGTGCAGTCGTTTTCATGAATAATCATTGGACGCGCCTCATTTATTTCCCCAAACTCATGCATTAATGCTCCTCCAATTACACACAATTACAGCAATTAATTAAGTGCCAAATTACCTGAAGACACTCCACCGGGCACACACTGGAACGCACTGCGTTGTGTTTTGGCATCTCGACCACAAGATGGCAGTGTTTGACTAAAATTACGCTGATGCAGTGTTTCCTAACTTGACGTTCATCAATTCAGTCATTAGCTTTCGCAATATCGTATATCGAAAAGTATATGTGACCGTGGTATGTAGAATGTAAAGAATATCGATCATTCATCTTCGGGAATGGTAAAGAAGGAGTTTTAAGTTTGACTTTTAACTATTTTGGACCATCTGCATTTACCTACTTCCTGTTTCAGCGTTGGAAAAAAATGTGTTTTACCTTTCAGTTCTTTGTTATTGTACTGCATTTAAAACCGTATACAGTATATTCAATCAATTTGTTTTTGATTTCCAATTGATTGTACAATGTTTATTTTCTTAATATAACTGTACTTAAAGCGCTTAACACAGTGACAAGAAATTATTCATTCATCTATTTCTGTAGTGCTTGAAAAAAAACAATGCAAGCACAGGGGATAACATGCAACGTCACACAGGAAGGCAAGAGCCAAGATTAATTTATTTACTCCTTGAGTTAACAGGGACAATGCAGTCACACAGTTAAAAGCTTGCAGGTGATGTGATACGTACAGAGTTTATAGCTAGAGCTAATTCTCAACTCCATTCCCCAATTGGGCTCTTCCACGAAATTATAGTACAGTATAAAATATAAAATAATGTATACATCAATCGGAGGGCCACACCACACAGTTCAATAATCCAATATTTCATTTATGACATGAAACTCACTCGCAAGACTGCAGTACACCATACAGCATGGGTATCAAAATCATTTTTGTCACGGGCCACACTGGAGTTACGGTTTCCCATGGCCGTTATGGCTGTGAATTTTGTGAAACTATATAAATATTTAAACACCTCCACATATTACATACCTGCGTGGGTTTCCTCCCACATTCCAAACACATGCATGCCAGGTTAATGGAACACATAACACTAAATTGCCCCTACGTGTGATTTTCAACATGGTTGTTTGTCTATGTGTGCCCCATGATTGGCCGGCAACCAGTTCAGGGTGTTTCCCACCTACTGTCCGAAGACAGCTGGGATAGGCTCCAGCATGCCCACGACCCTCTGCACTGTGAGGCCGACGTTCTAACAGTTGACCACTGTGCCGTCCACTATGTATGTATGTATGTATGTCTATGAATGCATTTGGATATACCTACATATTTTAAAATTTGTATTTGCACAAACAAAGATGTACTGTGGCCATCATGTATTTTCAAGTAGCACTGTGTGTGAGAGGTAAATATGCATCACTCCCATTCTTGCAAAAGATGACATGAAGCACTTAATTCTCGCAGTCCCATCTGTGCATGCAGGAAGAGTAGTCATCATTATAATGTACCCTAAGGCCTGCTTGAAGGTAAACAACAGCATCATTATACATTAGTGGGTCACGGAGTACTGTACTATGCATTATTGATCATGTCTTCCCTAATTGAAAGATGTTCCATCTGCAAATGAAATGACTGGTGCAGAAATCCCACCCGGCCACCTGACGAACTCAGGACCCACCTCAATGCACCCAAGATGGCGATGGGGCTAATCTGAGAAGGTTCCGTATGTCCAACATGTCACATGACTCAGTATATTGTGTAACTGAATGAAGATTCACTTTTTCTTGGAGCTGCATAAATAGCCATATCGATTTTTCTTTTCTTCTAATATCACAAGGGAGCCTCCATGGTGTGATTTAATGCCCCCCCCCTCCTTGTAACAGTACATTAATTAAAGATGACGTGACCACCATGTGTGACATGGGATGGAGGCAATGGGAACAATGCGCACAGCACAATGAACATTGCGACATCATACAGTATGAGACAAACGTATTGTGCTGGATTTTCCATCTATATGTGTGGTTGCACAAAAAAAAAGCTGGCTTTACAAATACAGCCTAAAAATGCTAAAAGTGCAGGTAAGTACTGTATTTATTGAATGATGTTTCTTGCTGTGGCTGCAGTTTGCAGTGGTGTGGAACTGCATTGCACTGCCTCATACTGTAAGTACAGTATTGCTTATATAATTCTTATTCAGAAATAAACATACATCGTATCGTAATCCAAAACAATGCCATGTATTCAAATAACTAACTTTCCAGCTTTCTTTAATTTAAAAAATAATATATATATTTTTTTCTGGCAATAAATGATGTTCAGCATTTAAGACTGATATGCACACAAATAGCATCCCATATTGCAAAGTCATTTCAGTTGATAGAATGGGTGTTTTCTATTTATATTATATTTTATTCATATTTATCGTCATGTACTGGAATATTTGCACCTATAAGAAACCAAATTATTTTCCACACCTATACAATCAAGAGTTTTACTGACACATGAGAGTAAAATGTTTTCTTGACATGATGTATTCAATAAACCAAGGTCACGGTCGAGTCTTTTATCAAATGTTTATTTTGTGTACTTACAGCAGATTTTTAAAATATATTTGTGAGTATGTATTGGAATATTTGCATGTATTCATGTATTTATGTTACTGAATTGATTCATACAGTATGCTATGTGTTATGTTTTTATACAATTCGGGTAAATCACGTTTTATATGAATTAACTTTTTGTTTTTGTTCATTTTTTTGCAAATATGGAGGTTTTTAATTCAGCCATGCGTGTTGGTTCGTGTGCGCACGCCTACAACAGGCGAGTCCTAGTACGCATGCGCGTCGTAGTTAGCTGACGGCTGAAGCTCTTGCATGTGTATGTGTGCGTGTGTTAGTGAGTGTGGACTCCATCAAGAGGTCCACGGCTGCCGAACCGGCGCCTCCACGCACTCCAAACTACCTCCAAGCGGCAACCGTGACAGAGGAGAAAGTGGACTGCATCGAGGAGTCCGGTCCCGTCCCGTCCTGTCCTGCGCTTTGCACGAGGTGCCATATTTGTCCCCGACATGTAGCCCAGCAGCGTGGGAGATCACCGCGGTAGAAGAGAGGAGGAGTGTGGGGAGGCTGATACCATGAAAATCACAACAGCCCACTGAGGGCGATCACGGGTACGGCGACGATGATGATGATGATGATGATGATGGACCCGAGTGGGATGATCCGAGGAAGGTAACGTCCGACACGGGAGTCCACGGAGACCTCTTTTAGTCGCTTTCGGGTGGAGGATGGATTTCAGCCGACTCCGGAACATCATCAGCCGATACGTAAGCGTCCCCACAACACACGCTCGCGCACACCGCGTACACTACATCCCACTCCCACGAACATGAACGGTGTATTAAAGCAAAGGTGGGCAAGCTATGGCTCGTGGGCCCCGTTTGATCCAGCACACCATGCTAAAAACACCTGAGGAACGGTTATTTTAAAATAGAGATGTTGGTACCGCTTTTTTTTTTTTTCAAACCGATTCATGTACGAGTACTCTTGAGTCCTCATTGATACCAGTACCAAGTAATCAATACCACTCGTACTTATGATCCAGAACATTTTCGACAGATAGTAAGTCTGCATTGCAGGATTTAAGTTCAAAATAAATGGCTCTCCGATTTCAAATGTCTTTATAATATATTAGCAAAAGTGCAAAATCTACCTTGAGTTTTAGTCTGTTCAACATAAATTGAAGTGCAAGACGATACCGGTTCACCTAGTAACTGTTGAGCGTCACACGATAAATTTGGAAAATAGGACTATAAAGTTGAAAAATTGAACACAATGCAAGTATTTCACATCAGCCGATACTGAATACATTTAGAATTTTTTTTCTTGACGTCTTATGAATATTCAAAATAAGAAAAACATCGTAAGCAGATTAATGATAACGATAGTACAACAATCCAGAGGAAAAACTACTTTTCTTTTTACAAAATATATGTGCACACAAGTACATAAAAAGTAGGCAAAAGTGAGTACAGCACTCTGTATAATACTACCAGTACTGTATTTGAAAGTGCTTTACTGCATTTAACAGGAAAAATAGTTGGTATTAATGCACCGTATAATGCCAGAATTCTATTTTTCTCAATGTATGAAAGCAGGTAAATGTGTAAAGTATATGCATGAAACACTGTAATGGAGAAAGTCTTTATTCCAACCGAACTGAGTTTGCAAATCAGCATATAAATGTTGATAGCGGGATGGACATGGATGTAATTCAAAAGAGAAAAACGCTTTGTCAGCCAGAAATCTCACAAATGACCAAATCAAAGTTGGAAGTAAAACCTGAAGAATGCACCCCAAGTATTAATACAATCATAATCAACCCATCCCTAATAAAAATGAAACTTATTTGCATTAGATTTATGGCAGTGTTGTGGGCTCATCGTAACTCTGGCATATAAGCGGTTGGGTCTTAGCAAATTTACATATTTGGTGGGCAACTTATTCTCCTCTCTAAGAAAAACGCAACATTATTTTTGCACCCGGGTTATTGCTTTACCGCCATCTAGCTTCATCAGAAATGATGTTGGAGTTGTGATGCTTCATTCCGACAAAAGTGTGCTTTGCTGTGGCTTTTACAGGCAATAAAAAGTTTTGTTGGAGGAGGAGGAGGGGAGGGGGGGGCAATGACTTTACATTTAACTGTACTAGATTGACGGTATTTGCGGCAGGTCCGTATTCCCTGCCAAAAATGGGAGTCCCAAGTCCTCAAGTGCCCCGCCTCTCACCCAAAGTCAGCCGGGGATCGGCTCTAGCTTCGGATATTTGGCTTTCAGGTGAAATTTATGGAAAAATGTCAAAAGTTCATACGATAGTGATATCATATCAGGAAGGTACGACATTTAAGAAGGATGCACTGGTGAATTCCTCATCTGTAACAAAAGCTAACAACAATGGTGGCACAACAGCACAACAAAAAATGTCAACATCTCAACCACTCGTCATGCGTCCTTGAGCATCAGTTACAGATTGGCAACGACGTCCCAAACTTGTTGTGAGTAGTGTATTATTTCAAAGGGCAGTTGGCTTAGTTGTCCATATATCTGCCTCACCGTTCTTCGTTTCGGGATTGAAATCCTGACCTTCCGCTGTGGCTTTTGAATGTTCTCCTTGTGCCTGCGTGGGTTTTCTGCGTGGACTCCGGCTTGCCCCTATTTTCAAAAACACATTAAGTTAATCCACAACCCGAATGAGCACTACAGAAAATGGCTGCATGGATATTACTTTCAAGCATCGCAGCACTGAACTGGTCCCCTATAAGAAAAAAAAGCCACTGTCCCCCTTGCTTTCATAGCATCATTGTGTGAAATGCATGTGTGCTTTATCTTAATGAGCTGAAAACAAACCCCAAATGTTTGCCCCCGTGTGCGAGCCATTGACTTTGGCTGAATGGGGAACATGCCAGTCAAGCCCCACACGCGACACTGCGCGGCTGAATGTGCGGAATCGAAATCAACTTGGCTGGCCCACTTTTGAAGTTGCTAAAGGGAAGCCCGCAACCCGCATGCAAAATGAACTCCGCTAACATTCGGAACACCTGCAAAAGCTGATGACAGAGGCTGTTTTGTTGTTTTCACATATTACCATGTGTAACTTCTTTTTGCATTTTTGTGACAGTGAATGTTTAATGAGAAGATAATTTGACTCGAAAGTGTTCAGCAACACAGCCACTGCACGACCGTTTGCCGTTAGCATGTCGATGGGCTTTTACATCGACTTCACTGGCGATGTTTTCAAAACAAAGCATGCCTTGTATTTAAATATTATGTGTATCCAAAATGTCGCCACATGAGAGCAATTAAATGGAATTGTGTCACTTGAACCCTGCCGTGTAAATCCAGCCTGACTGAGTGTGATATTGTTTTAAATTTGGACTCCGAGTAGTAATTAACTTGATTATACTCTTGCGTGACAGCTATGAGTGCTCGAAAAATGGTGGCACATCTGTCATGAATCGCAAATTCTGCTTTTGTTTTTTTTCATGACAAAAATATTTTGGATTGAGTTTCCGGTTTTATTTTCTCTTCGCTGTTGGCTTTACAATGGGTACAATCGTGTTTTTAGTTTGATTTATTTTAAGAAAGAAACATGCCCCTGCAGTAACATTGCCCGTAGAGTAATACTAGTTTTCTGATGGCCACGTTTTGACTCCGGAATGGATTAATCATTTATTTTCGTTTTTTTTCCTCTGAGAAATATCGTTTGAAGTCAACAACGACAAAACAACAGCATGAAATCGACAGAAGGGGCAAGCGTAGCCTACTTGTTGGTGTTCATTAAGGGCGCAGCTGGTTACATGGCGTCTGACTGTGACACTCACTCGACTCAGCGCATGACCCACGACCTTTGAAGCCGACCTTAAAAGTGTCTCAGGTGCTCTGACGATAACGGTCTTGTTATGATGTTTATTTATTATTTTTACCCCGGCACACTCGGTATTGCAAGCGCTCCAGCGGCGGAGTCCATAAGAGTGTCACAACCACAAGCGCGGTGCTGCAGAGAGTTGGGGGAGAGAGCGGGTGGGTCTTTGAACGCACCCGCTCACATCATCCGTCACCCGCCTGGTTGTTTGCATCCTGGCTGCAACATTACACCGTTGACGGCCAGTGAATCATGAATTCAATTATGCGGTTATTGACGGGGAGGAGAGAGGGATGATATATGTATCCACGTTAGCCATTACCGCAGCATTATTTCCAGCAGACGCTTCTTTAACGAGGGCTGCACGGAAGAACCAACATTACAGTGCCGCTCGACGAACATGGCTCCACTCCTCTTGACGTCTTGTGAATATTTTGCATGCAGAAAACACTCATTCAGGAAAGCGTGTCGTGCATTTGAATGTAATATGTTTCAATTAAATCATTTGACAATCCCCATTTTAGTTCATCTCGTTGAAATGTTTAGCAGCACTATCTGATCATAACTATGGGTTGAACGATTTTTGTTTTTTTTAATAGTCAGTTGAGATAATGTGATGAAAGTCGAGTTGAAGCCGATGAATGTACCTGTCATGTCACTGATTGTTCAGCACAGCGATTCGCAACCTTTTTGCGCCACAGACCAGTTTCACGTAATCAATGCTTGAATGAAAATACAGATCACCGTTGTGTAAAGAAAAAAAAAACAATTTGTATTTATTGGCCTAAAAAAGTCATCTCAGAAAATCTTCAAATGATAAATGATTGACGGTTATGTCAACAATGTTAGCACAACAACGCAAAAACAAAACAAACAAAAAAAAAACTGTCTTGACAATATGTTCTATGCAGCGCCATTAGTCTAAACACTATATTCTGAATGACATTGCATTTGTGTAAATTCTCACAGGGCGGTCCTTGTGCTACTTGCAGTTGACTGAAAATGACATCACTGTCGCTCAGGGCTGGGGTCACGGCTCAGCTTTAGAAAGCAGGTGATATATGATTTGTCATAACCGCAGCTTTGAGCAACAGTGATGTCATTTTCAGGCGACGGCAAGTGGCAAAATGGCCGCCCCTTGATATGGATAAAAACGGGTGCATTCTGCTGCTTAACTCATATTCTACAAGCGCAATTTAAACCAGAGTTTCGACTTATGGGATCTCATACAACGTGTTGTCAAGAAAATATTTGTCTTTGTCATCCCTTGTCCAACAAGCTAGTAATGCAGGTCCAGCCTTCATTTTCTAAGTGTTTCAATGTGGGAAATGTGCACCTGTGCAGCGCCCAGATCTCGAAAGCAGCGTTGTCTCTAATGAGATTTATCAAGAAAGGGACCTCTTGTGCATGATGGTGTGTTAGCACACGTGTTATATTTTGTCTCATCGTGCCCTTTGTCATGTGGTAATAATAGCCGTGGCGTGATGCCTTGGCGGGGTGCCGCCTGTGAAGACTGCACGAGAGGGTCATGAACTGTATTAGAGGCACACTTATGTATGTACTTGGAAGGCTTTGTCCAATTTAAAGACCGCTACAAAGGGCTTGCATTTGGTTGGCTCATCATGGAAGTGACTCGCTGCGGCGACTCCTGACTTAAAAAAAAAAAAGGGGGGGGGGCGGGGGACTAAGCCGAAAATCGAACAACAATAAAGCATCGTTTTAATCTCCCCATCATGTGCAAACGTGACTCCCACAGCCCCCCTTTTGATCAAATGGGCCAAACAGAACAAACTATGTTGATAAACACTCAACAGGAACAGATGGAGACATTTCTAACATGGCAGTTGAAATATGATACAGCAAGTAATCAACCAAAATGTTGTTTGGCGTTGCAGATCCGACAAAAAAAAAAATATTTTCTTCAACTACGTTATGTTATACCGGATCACTTTTATGACACCAAAAAAGCGTGGTGTGATGTCATGGAAGAAATGGGTTGGTAGAAAGAGAGCAAGTGTTTGAGAATAGAGCGCGAAAGCGTGTGGGGATATTTTGAGAGGCTATCTCACGCCCATTCACAAACTGTACCCGGTACACTCCGTATAGCGTAACACTGGAAGCGTCGCTATGTCATCCATGAATCGATGTAATTCTAAATAAACTGGTCTATTTGTTTGCATTCTCTATTTCATTATTGTACAATATGGATGGCACCAAACAACAGACGAATGGCATTTCAATTCATTTTGATCGGGAATATTGACTGTATTGCACTAGCCTTTTGATTCGGTGAAGCAGCATATGGCTCACCGCCCAACGTTCTTTTTGTCAAGTTACTCTAAACAACTGTAAGTTTGCCGCCATGATGTGGCTCACGTTTCACAAAGTGGGTTCATAGTTAGCATCTTAGCCAGAAGACCTTGCATACTGCATTCTGTGTGCGTGTGTGTGTGTGCGTGTGTGTGTGTGTGTGTGTGTGTGTGTGTGTGTGTGTGTGTGTGTGTGTGTGTGTGTGTAATCTGTGAAATCAATCTTTTTATTTTATTTTTGTAAGTAATACTACTACAAAGAATGAACAGTAATGTCGAAAATACTGTATTGACACAAAAGTCCGAAAATAGTGACACAACAGTCCGATGAATGTTTCAGCGGCTAATCGTCATTTCCAAACGTGTTAACGCGTTCACCATCCACCACTGCGGGTCATAAAACATGTCCTCCTCTTGATCCGGTGGGCGCCAGACAGCTGAAGAGCCTTCGAAAGGTTTCTCACACGGTCACGGCTTCTCCATTCCCCTCGCCTGCTCTCGAAAGACAAAAGTGACATGTTGCTGTTTTAGGCAGTTCTATTTCTGTGATACGCTCTCACCCGCATCTCATAGAACGGACGCCTATACTGCACGTCGCTCTGCTGGCATGTGGGAAGGACTTCTCACGGCTTCCCACCAGGTTGTTAGCACGTCGCCTGTGTCGAATTGGGATGAAAGGAGGAAGAGGGTCATGGATGGCACAGATTATGGTGGTGGTTTAAAGTGGGGGGCTGGGGAGGGGTGAAGTAGCGCTGCCAAATTCAAGAGTTACATCACAGTTGGAGTCGAGCGGGGGACGCTGCATACACATTTTTATTTTATTTTTTTCCCCAAGTAATCCGACTATGTTGTCTCCTTTTTTTTTTTCTAATCCTGTGATGCCGCAGGATGTTTGCATCATGAGACGGTTGAGAAAAAGGTTACAGCTGGAGAGAAATTTAAGCATACTGTGCTCTAATGGGACTTTTATACAGATATTTCACTTGCGTTGCACCCAAAAAAAGAACAAGTGCTCTTGTCTTGAAAGGAGACATGCTCTGTATTTTTTTCCCCAAATTTAGGAGAGTTCCCATTTGTCTTAAGAAAAGATTTCCGGCACACTTACTCTGGCTAAAATCACTCAATTCTGTCTCATACAAATGTCAAGTCCAGCTTTTGTTTTTATGACATCCACGGGTCAGAGCTTGGGCGCGCGATGAGTAAATCGGGAAACTTTACGAATCCCTCCAAAGCGCAGGAGATATTTACACCTTCACAACCAGACGCACAAAGACGTACACAAAGCCGCCGCTGGCTAATATACTGTAACTACATCACCAACCCCTTACAATAAAGCGAACGCTCATAAAGATTCGATTGCATTTTCTCTCACCGAGGCAGCACTTCATCACCAAGCCGCCAAATTACGCATTGTCAATTTGAGTAGCGGATCTACATTATATTTCCAGAAACAAATACCTTCCACACCCACTTTGACAAGTTGACCGTATCTCCGTATTTACTTGGTGATTTAAATCCGCCCTTATGACTCGGCAGCACGATAGCGACATCTATTTGTGTAATTGCATACACATTTTCTATTATATGTACCCTAATGGCATTCAAAATTACAAAATGTTATCTGAAGTCAACCAAAATCTATAGGACTCATATTATCAGGAGCAGACAGACCATTTTGTTATGTCTCAAAAAATTAAACGGAGCAGCCAGACCATTTGTTATGTCGTAATCAATTTAATTTCCTCTTCTATGGTTATTCGCACATTTTTTTTGGCTCTAAGTCAGAAGAGCTGGAGTTTTACAGGATTTGCTGAGTTGGTTGAACTCCAAATGATATGACTTAAGGAACATTTCACTTTGGATTTGTCACTGGAAATGAAACCCGGTTGTTGTTTGCTGCACCAAACCATTGTTGCCATGGCATTTAATGGTGCGCATTTATCAGTGTGCTAACACCACAGCGTCTTACAATAGATTATCACGTGTCGTATTTGGTGATATATTTCACTCTAATTTTAGCTCCCCCACAAGCTCATTTCTCGGTTTCTAGATGAAGGCACAATTTCAATTCGGCTCCGCTTGTCTCGGGAAGTGTGATTTCTTTTCGTTACTCCTCTGTGGCAGTAGGCGACAGTTAACGATTCATTTTCCTTCGTCGCAAATTCATCAGGGCTATAGAAAATGGTTGGATGGATAGACTGTGAGGTTGTAGCCAAGTGGCCGGTGAGTCGATGTTAACAGAGAGCGGTGCCGCTTCAACCTTTGCCTGTTTAAACATGAGGAGTTCATTAAAAAGAAACTAATAATAAAGCGCCGGTTCAATGAGGGACGCCAGATCAACATGGGACTCGTCCCTGCGGCACAGCGTGGCGGCGACACGGAGGAGGGACAAGATACGACCATTTAATCAGGCCGCTTAATGGTCTGTTACTTTTTTATTGCGCCTCGATAGGTAGCTGCCCCGTGGAAACTGCTTGGGGGTCGGAGGTTGCTCTTATTGGCGCTAGCTGAGAGACTGTCTAACTCAAAAGTGCCAACATAAAGATGTGGCCAAGAACCTTTTTACGGTTCAGGCGATAGCACTTTTGCTGCAGTAAAACCAGCCTGACGCCATTGTGTTGCAGCTAATAAAGAAAAAGCGCTCCATGTCAGGTGCGGACTGGCCGAGGCCACTTTGTATGACGGAGCGAATGCAGAAACGGGAACGGAACAGTGAACCGGAGGTTGATTGGGATCAGTGAGGATTAATGATCAGATAAGTGCAAACGACTTTGTATAATCTGATCTCTTCCTCCACACAGCCAGGACCGCAAAGCGCTTTAGACATGTCGCTGTGATGCCAAAGAAGAATAGAACAATGCGGATTTAAGGAGATGACGTTTATAAATGCTGTATTTGTGATGCGGTTATCTGTTTCGTATGACTCATGATCTGTATCCGGCCATCCGTTTTCTGTGCGCCTTTTCCTGTTCAGAGTTGCCGGTAACTGGAGCTAAGTTCAGCTGTTTTTGGGGCAAGAGGCGGGGTACACCCAGGACTGCTTGCCAGTCCATCGCGGGGCACACCCAGACGCGGAAATCTGATGATACAAAAAAGATAACGAGAAGCCGCGAACGACTTTAGGCTGCGCTGCCAAGACGCACAATATTGAATGAAGACAAAAGAATTTTCACGAGAATCTCTTCACATCACAATTTACACGTACTGCTCCACCACGTCCAAATGAGTTCGCTCTGTGGTTCTTTGGTTATCGCTACATTTTAATGCTTCACCGTCACAAGGTACCCTTCTGTGTTGGCACTTTAAGAAAATAAAAATACAACCCACTTCAATCCCAGTTCTTTTGGTGCTTGCTGAGCTGAAAGTCTTGCTCAACTTCACATTGAGGATTTTTCTTTTTTTTTTTTTTATGTGTCCAATTTATGAAGGGTGAGTGTACATTGATTTTGAAATGTATAAATTCAGATTTTATACAACATATGACAAGCAGCTCTGTGTTTGACCCGACGCAGTTCTACACCAACCACAATACAAAATACATTACCTCTCTGACAGTGTTCATCAAAGGTGAACATGATGTTTGTCGAGGGTTATTTATCTTTATTTTTTAAATTTTTGTATTATTATTATTTTTTTTAATCTAACCGTTGTACTGGATCTCATTAGTGTATCATCGCCTTGTTTTCACTCATCTCTTGCACAATTTCTGGGTCATGTGCCACCCACCCCTTTCACTGTTTTGATGGGGTCTCAAGCCAGCTGACACTAGTGGCGGCGCTTCTATTTTTGTCCTCTCAACCCGCCCGGCGCCTGTTGATCGCTCTGTGTAACTTCAAGATGTGCACTTCGCACCTCCATCCTGTTATTTTTTCAGAGCTTGTTGTTATGTGTTTATATAGAACTTGCAAGCTTTTTTTGTGTGTGTGCGTGTGCAGTGTATTCTATTTTTAACATTTCTGTGTTTGATGTGTGTAAGTTTTATTTTATTTTCGATAGAAAATGGTGTTCATACCAAAAGCCGTTAAAACAAATTGCATAACACACTCCACAAATATGGCCGACATGCGACAGCAGGGGTGTCAAACTATTTTTTTTGTCGCGGGCCACCATGGAGTTACGTCTTCCCTCGGAAGGCCATTACGACAGTAAAACTGAATAAATGTTCAATCATCAAATCGTATTTTATTTGGACGCAACAAATCAAGTTGATGGATTACTAGTTTTGAAATCAGTCAACTGCTTGTTGTTTGTTCAATTATAATTGTTCTGCGTAAAAACAATTATTGCAAAAGCTCAACGTTGTTACACATCACAATTTGACATTTTGGCCCAGATTTGATCATGGAAGTTGACACGCAGGGTTTGCTTTCACGGGCCACGTAAAATGACGCGGTGGGCCGGATCTGGACCCTGGGCCTCGAGTTTGACACCGGTGTGCTACAGTCTGTTAAAAAACGCTATATTTAGCAATGAAAGCACAACTTTTCAAAACCGTTATCACAATTTTTGGTGGAATTCTGAACATACATACATTCGCTAACTACTAGCTAACTACTAGCGCAATGCTCAAGCTAACGGTGGAATAAAATTTTTGTATCCTGCTTCTGACCATGCAAACCATCAAATGTTCTTCATTAGTGGTAACTTCCAGGACTGCCATTTGACCTTGATATTCCATCGTGAAAACCCCCCCACCAAAAAACATCCCATTTATTCGTGACATCTGTGCCAAAGTGTTGAGGGCTCAATAAAACAATGAAGTGCTTGTTCCAGAACCTTTTCAGTGGACGATCAGCATTGCACGTTTGGTGCTGTGTCAGCCGGGTCGCTCTGCCAACGGATGTTTTCATTGGGGCCGGAGTGTTTTGAGCATTGTCCAATGTCGCTTCATGAAGAACACCTTGGAGGTGGACAATGGACTCTGCTAACCCAAAGATAGATCCGTTGATCAACTCAATTCAACTTTTTTTTTTTAATGCATTTGTTTTGTTCAACCATATGTTGAAATAGGTTGATCCATTACTTGAACCAATTTTCTTCTATCGTTACCTGTGTTTCTAATTTTATCCGCTTTTCTTTCTCTCTCTCTCTCTCTCTCTCCATCAGTGCGTGGGGGAGGAGAACTGGGTCGACAATCGGACGGTCTACATCGGTCATAAAGAACCCCCTCCGGGAGCTGAGGCCTACATCCCTCAGCGTTACCCCGACAACCGTATTGTGTCCTCAAAGGTCAGAAGATCCTTTCAATTATTTAGATCTGCCAAGGGAAACTACTGTATCAGGAGCCATATTTTTTTTCTTTTGAAGAAACACGACATTTAGGAACCAATTCGTGATCATCATAGATAAGGACCAATTGTCATTTGAATCTTATTGGGGTTTTTTGTAACAGTTCCTCTGAGGGAATTTGACGCAGAAAGCCATCAAATTCTGACCCACGGGCCGTAGGTTCCCCACGCCTGGTTTAGCGTCTCTACTCTCCATTGCCATGACAGTGACCCCCCCTCACTATAAGTAGCAAAATTTTGCCTCATTAGCGTTCATCAAAAAGTTTTGTAATTTCCACAAGATGGCAACAAGACTTTTTCTAGAAAGTTATAGCCTGTCTAAACGAAGATCCTCTCCTCACCAAGATACCACCAAACGGCGTCAAAGCACTATTTTTACATTAGAAATAGCTTTGGCATGAGTCCAAACAGGTGTGTTTTTCAGCAAATAAGAAAAAAAAATATACGAAGACTGTTTTATGGCTGTTCACTGCATTTTGTTTAAAACTCATAGAGATATCTTTTTTTATTCGATTAATTTTACTCTAAGAGTGATGGTGGTAGGGCGGCCCGGTGGGCCAGTGGTTAGCGCGTCGACCTCACAGTGTGGAGGTACCGGGTTCAATTCCAGCTCAGGCCTCCCTGTGTGGAGTTTGCATGTTCTCCCCGGGCCTCCGTGGGTTTTCTCCGGGTACTCCGGTTTCCTCCCACATTCCAAAAAATATGCATGGCAGGCTTATTGAAGACTCGAAATTGTCCCTAGGTGTGAGTGTGAGCGTGGATGGTTGTTTGTCTGTGTGTGCCCTGTAATTGCCTGGAAACCGGTTCAGGGTGTCCCCTGCCGACTACCCGAAGATGGCTGGGATAGGCTCCAGCACCCCCCGCGACCCTTGTGAGGATAAAGCAGATCTGAAAATGGATGGAGTGATTGTGGTATTGTTTTTCATTTTGACAGTACACCTTCTGGAACTTCATCCCCAAGAACCTGTTTGAACAGTTCCGAAGAATTGCCAACTTTTACTTTTTGGTCATATTTCTTGTCCAGGTGAGAATATCATCATTCGTGTATTCTGATCAAACTGTCCAGTTCAATTTGTATATCCATGGTATAGTTTGGAATTTTGAATGACGTCAGAACCGCTGTTTTCCATGTTTGACTGCATTCCCATTTTCCACCTCATTGTTACACACCACTACTTATGACACCGTCATAGTTTGAATCACAACTTAGAATGTTCTCAAAAGAGTAAACCCCCCTCCAAAACTTGAGCTGAGCCAGGCCCATTTTTCAAATCCATGTCCCGATATTTATGATATATTTTTCCAAACTCGCTGCACAGACACATTTTTTTGGACTCGGTTTGCCAGGTGATGATACTCTGATGTGCCACAATGGCTCATATTTTCCATCACTTCCAACGCTAATTTCATGAATTTTATCAACTCCAAATCCTTCCCGACTGTGATACATTTGTTCCATACTATGTACTTCAACTTACGGAGTTCTGTGTTGAGCGAGCGTTCCAATGAAACCCGTCTTTGGAAAATAGGATAAAGATTATGCAAGTATCAAAAACAAATAGTCACAACTCAAATCTTGACCACCATCGACTTTGCATTAAGACGTTTGCCATAAAGTGGTGCCTCATCATCAGTTTGAAGGCGTCTTAATTTTCCTAATATGGTTGGAACTGTAAAAAAGTCGTAAGTTGGGCCTCTCGCACCTAATGTATGTCATGCTTCTACCGCTCCAGCTCATCATCGACACCCCTACCAGCCCAGTCACCAGTGGGCTACCCCTGTTCTTTGTTATCACAGTAACTGCCATCAAGCAGGTATACCACACACACACACACACACACACACACACACACACACACACACACACACACACACACACACACACTTCTAGCCCACACCTTCCAGCCTCGGACTCCAATCAGCTGTTCTATTATCTGTACGTACACGCATTCCTCTCCGGGCGCATTGAAAATGTCTGCTGATGTGAGAAATATGGTAATGAATGCTCTCCTCTGTTCATCACTGGAGCTCCCAGGGGAGATTCAGCCACCCCCCTCCCCCGGCCCGCTGCTATCAATGATAGATGGGGCCATGCTGGCTAAAGAGAAGCGAAATTTAGCGGGACATAAATCTAAAGCGTGACGCGTCGGCACGAAATCAAGCAAGCAGGTCACCCAGCTCAACGTGCGCAGCGCTAATTAATCACAACCAGGTTTACGTTTGCGCAATCATCTGTCCAACCCTCACCCCCCCCCCCTCCTCTCCTTCTCCATCTTTAACAACCTTGTCCTCTCAGGGCTACGAGGATTGGCTGCGGCACAAAGCCGACTGCTCCATCAATGAGTGTCCGGTGGACGTGGTGCAGCGGGGGAAGGTGGCGAGGACGCAGAGTCACAAGCTGCGGGTAAGATCCGGCTTGTTCAAGGCAAGCAGCACCTGTGGTCATGAAACAAACATTGTCTTGTCCACATTTGTCTCCTGTCTACCACACGCCCTGTGGTCCTCGTGACACTGAGCCCACTCCAAGATAACGTGTCTGTAGTACGTTATGAAATGTAGAGTACGCATATGGTGCCTTGACTCGAGTTACACTTGTTCCATAACTATGCTTGTAACTCAAAGCAAGGAAATAATCCTTCCCCATTGAAAGGAATGCAAAGTCCATTAATCCGTTTCAGCCCCATAAAAAAAAAAAAAAAAATACTAACATATTTTTTTGTACCAGGTGTTTAAAAAATATAAATATAGGACTCCAATGAACACTGACAAAAAAAAAAAAAATCGCTAAGTGCACACACACTTGCAAGTCTTTGCTGCTCAGTGCGATACAGGCTTAACGAAAGCTGAGAAAAAAAAATGAACTATTATTCAAAAGCCGTTCACAGGCGCCAGAATGAGCGTGTTTGCAAAAATGTTCATCAGGCAGAAATAGACTACGCTCAATTCACGTTCACCCAAAATATGAACTCATGAACATTCAGTCATTCATCTCGTTCAGGTACAACACTGCCTGTGAATGTTGGTACATATTGGTGTCTGTTTTGTTGCACCGTTTGTGTATGGACATCAGCCCTTAAAGGATTATACCTGTATAACGTTGATGCTAGTTTTGTTAACCGGTCTGTGGCATTTTCCATTGTATGTTAGCATTAAGCTAGCCAATTAGGTAAGTTGTGTGATTAGGTTGATGTCTCTGTAAAGGAAAATCTTCTAAATTTCATACAGCACAGAGAACAGTGTTGTTAGTAACCCTCCCAGATTTGAATGATTAAAAAAAAAAACTTGCCAGATGTTTAAAAAGAGGCTAAAAAATGAAACATTGCACACGCAAAATGAGGCCTCAAACTAGTGAAAAATCAAGTCATTGTCTTTGCCCTCAAACACAGGTTTTGAAAACTGCATTGCATTTTCCTGAGATCTGCTCCTGATATTTTGATGGCCCCTTTGACATTTCGGTGACCTTATTGAGCTGCATGAGAGGGTCAAAATAAAAAATACATAAATAAACAGTACCGGTACTCAATACGATGCACTGCAAACTCCAAGCACATGAATCTGGAAACCGGATACCTGTCAGTTAAAACTGGGCTTTGTTTCATCTCTTGCTGTTCTGCCTTGAAGTATTACCACCAGTCTAATCTTCCTTGTTTCTAATCGCTCAAGGGGAAAAAAAGTGTTCTTTGGAATACATTTCACATACACGTGTAGGGAAATGTGTCTCTTTTCGTGTTATTTTCTATTCTGCCTCTGTCCCTCCCTCCCTCCCCGCCCCTTTATTCCCCACCTTCCTGTCATCACGAGTGTCTCCCTTGTGTTTTTGCGGCCCTGTTTTGTGGATCAAACGGAGCGGATTAGCGCGTGAGCCGGCAGCAGGAATAATGATGAATATATTAATCACGCAAATTCGCACAGCATGTGTCATGTGTCCGGTCACCATGACGATGGGATTTTATCCGCGCCACATAAGCTGCTCGCTTGGCATTATCTGTTATGCAACTTCTCAATCCTCTAAAATAAATGAAAAAAGGGTGTTCATGTGAGTAAAAGGCCTGTCATCTATTATGGATGTTGCCGCCATGATGGGACCGTTGTGTTGATGTCGCAGGTGGGCGACATCGTGGTGGTGAGGGAGGACGAAACGTTCCCATGTGACCTCATCCTGCTCTCCTCCAGCCGACAAGATGGCACCTGCTACGTCACCACCGCCAGCCTGGATGGGGAATCCAGTCACAAGGTGCCACGACGACACGCGCAGAGACATTTCAGTCTGAGTTCTTCAGGATAATGCTGCGACCCTTGTAAGGATAAAGCGGCTCAGAAAATGGATGGATGGAGGGATATTACTCAAGAAAAAAAACACAATTAAACCTCCTAGTAAATGATCGCCAAACAAGTATAAACCTCACCACTAACAATACAATGACAATCATGTGTCTAATCGCATGCCAAAGACCTAAAAATGTTTAAATAAAATCCATGGTACTCACCAGAGACACTTATTAGCTGTAGACAGAATTCATCCTCTTTTTCTAGATGAGTTGGATCGCAAGCACGGCAGCCATGACCGGTAGACACACAAACAGGACTCCACCCACACTCTGCTCAAACGAGACCTCCGCCTCCCCTCCCCGATGAGCTCGCAATTCAAGCAATGTTCCACTTACTTAACCTGTCCTCCTTCAGACCTACTACGCCATACCAGATACCATGGCCTTTAGGACGGACCAGGAAGTGGATTCCCTACATGCCACCATTGAATGTGAACAGCCGCAGCCTGACCTCTACAAGTCAGTGTGACACCTTGGTGATTGTGTGAACATTTAAGGTCACTTTCCTTAATGGCTGCCTTGTCTTGTCTTGTCCTTCGGGTTAACTCAGATTTGTGGGACGTATCAATATTTACAAGAACAAAGAAGAGCCTGTTGCTAGGTAGGTTTTCATTTGATTTGTTGTACAGTATGTTCATTTTGCTTCTCTTCCAAATTTATGACATCATTGTTATGGCATAAAATGACAACTTTATTCTCGTAAAAGAACATTTTCATATTACTGTAAAAAAAAAAAAAAAAAAGATCCCACATACTCTATATGACGAGTGTATTAGCTTTAAAATTCCAACCCCATTTTTCTTCTTAAATTGTGACTCTGTTCCATACTACATGTATTTATGTATGACTTGCATTCGATTATTTTACTCTATATATCACGGCTTGAATCTTGTACATATTTTGCATTTATTGTCGGAGTATTATATGTTTTTCTCTAATATTGGATGTTTACCTTCATATAATTACCACTTTATTTCCATAGGTTTATTTAATTTCAAACCATAAAATTACGACACTCTTCTTGGGAGTTTTATTTTAAAACTGTGACACTATTCTCACAATAATAGAAGTTTATTCCAACAAAACTGCAACTTTTGTCTCATTTTAAACCAAAATTCCAACAAGACTTATTTTTTAACAGGCACGGCGCCAGGATTTTTTTTCCTCCCGATTTGTGGGAGTTACCAAAATAATACAGTTTAATCATTTCATTTTTGATCATATCATACCTTCTGTGCCTTTATTCTCATAATAAATTCTTTTTTTTTTCCTTAATATGCTAACTTTATTTTTCCTGTTGATAGCTAGCTAGCTCGCAAGTTGTTAGCAAGTCACTCTCTGTTTTCTTTCAGACCACTTGGTGCTGAGAATTTACTACTCAGAGGCGCAACACTGAAGAACACACAGCACATTTATGGTGCTCGTTTATTCTTATTCATGTTTCTTCATGTTGAGGTTTGTTGCCGCGGTCACTCATTTTCCTCCACCTTTTTACTTCAGCTGTTGCCATCTACACTGGCATGGAGACCAAGATGGCGCTCAATTACCAGTCGAAATCGCAGAAGCGGTCTGCTGTGGAAAAGTGAGCTCTCATCTGACCACATCCAGTTTGAGACAAACAATTTGGTTGATTTCATTTGGACATTTTTGTCTCCCTCGCAGGTCTATGAATGCCTTTCTGATTGTCTATCTGTGCATCCTGATCAGTAAAGCAGTCGTCAACACTGTTCTCAAATATGCCTGGCAGTGGTCTCCAGACCGCGACGAGCCCTGGTACAACCACAGAACGGAGAACGAGCGACAGCGACACGTGGTGCGTGAAGGGACATTTATTCCACAAGCACATGCTACAAATGTCCCGTGCCACATAAAAAAATAAAATAAGAATAATGCTAATCTTTGATGTCATAATTTGAGTTGGAAACACTCAGGATGCCCTTCTTCAAGCTATTCTAGTTGTTCTATTTTTGTTGTGGATTTTGAGGGTGGTTATTTTTATTCTCTGTTTTGACCGTAGGCCAACTGTGTAAGTTAGAACAATTCTGATCAAATGGTGGCTTTTCTCTTCATACTTACACACAATCCCACCTTTTTTTTCTCTCTTGCAATCGTACGATTTCATAGTCAATAAATGATAACTTTAAAATAACTATCATTTTCCTAAAATCACAATTTTTAGAACTTATTTGTTGTAAAACTACAACTTCCCCCCCCCCCCGAAACGAATGCACACTTATTTTTGTAAACATTGGATTTCACAACTTTATCAACATAAAATGACTTTATTCTTGTAACAATTTCAATCTTATTCTCATATTTCCATGACTCCATTCTCTGAACATTATTTTATTTTCAGTGTGACAGTAAAACGACATCTTCCGGTCCCGCGTTCATATCTGCTGCTTTCCTGCAGGTGGTCCGAGCGTTCACCGACTTCTTGGCCTTTACCGTGTTATTCAATTACATCATTCCCGTGTCCATGTACGTCACGGTGGAGATGCAGAAATTCCTGGGCTCCTATTTCATCACGTGGGATGAGGAGATGTTCGATGAAGAGTTGGGAGAAGGAGCTCAGGTCAATACCTCTGACCTTAACGAGGAGCTGGGTCAGGTAAAACTTTTCCCACGTGTAAGCTTTTTATTTTCCAGCGCGTCAACGATTCAACGTTGTCGTTTCCAGGTACAATATGTTTTCACCGATAAGACGGGCACTCTGACGGAGAACAACATGGAGTTCATCGAATGCTGCGTCGATGGGAATGTTTACATTCCGCACGCCATATGCAACGGTCAAATCCTCAGCGCCGCCTCCAGCATCGACATGATCGATTCCTCACCCGGTGGATACCGCAGAGTAAGTACCGTTTAGGCGCACTGTCAACTCCACTCTACACTACACAAAAAGAGCACAAAACAAAATATTAGGGGCATATTGAAAAAAAAGTATATATATATATATATATATATATATATATATATATATATATATAGAGAGAGAGAGAGAGAGAGAGAGAGAGAGAGAGAGAGAGAGAGAGAGAGAGAGAGAGAGATTTCACAAAACAAGTCTAGTTGTAGTGAATACAACTCATGAAAAAAAAAACGCATTATGATGACCTTTCTCTTCCTATTACTGCATATTTATGTTTGTAAAAATAACATTTTATTCTTGTCTCACGCCTTGATTATCATAAAATGATGACTTTCATACTCATAAAGTGTTAAGATTATTCTTGTAGGAATAATTTATTATTCATCAACCATGACTGTTTTTTTTTCACGCTTGCCAAACTAGCAAAGAAACGTAAAATGCATATCGTGTTTTATTGCCTCATGGATTCTGAGTAAAAACACAGCGTTAAGAAAACCTTTGAAATCTACATTTTGATATGTTGCATTTACTTGACTTACCATCCATTCAATCGTGTGGCTGCAGGAACACGAGGACCTGTTTTTCCGGGCATTGTGTCTGTGTCACACGGTTCAAGTGAAGGAGGAGGAGACCGTGGACGGCATCAAGAAGGGCATCCATCAGGGCCGGCCCACCTCCTTCTACATCTCCTCTTCCCCGGATGAGGTGGCTTTGGTGGAGGGAATGAAAAGGTCGGTGTTCTAAATGACGCTGCGTATTCTTAAAAGCGGTGCGGATTCTTCAAATATTTGCCTCACAAATCTGGATATGTTTTGTGTGACCGTCCGTGTACCTTTCAAATGACACATACCCGATATGTTAACACTGACGGAACGCGTGAAACGTCGTGCGAGCGCCGATGCCAGAATTGAGAGTAATTCCAAGCGTCAACACTCGCAAATGTCAAAACTGAAGTATTCCAGAAATAATACAAATATTTCACATTACATTACGTTGAGTTGGCCTAGGTTGACTCTTCCTGCCGTTGATTTCAATGAGGGAAACTTACACAGTTCTCTGCAGCAGTTATTTTCCTTATTTCATGATGGGCACGCATCGAATGTAGCATATTTACTGCATATGATATTTAATGATCAATGCTTTCACTGCAATATCAATTTATGGTGGGTGGGGTTTTTTTTGGGGGGGGGTATTTCGGATCCATTTCTTTTTGGGCTCTGAGCAGACAATCCATCCCAAAATTTTCCACAACATTTAGCCTATTCAGGGTTGCAGGTTTGCCAGGTCCTATTCCAGCTCACATTGCCACGAAAGACAACCAGGACTGGTCACCACTCAGTTGAATTTACGATAAAACGTCTTCACCAAACAAAATGAGTCCAGTTTCCTTCATTCGACCGTTACCGACCTGGATGACTGAGAATGTACACAGACCATGAACAAAATGGTTGGCAATCCAATGATTAGATGAGTTCCTTGGTATTCAAGTATCTAAATACAGTGCAGTATGTCTGATACAGTATTTGGGCTGTATAAGGTTCTAAAAAGTGCAAATCGCATACATGCTGAGGTCAGTACACCCAAAGCAACATGCTCATATAACGCTGCTCTATTTTAAGTGAGGACACAGCGTTAGGTTCATGAACATGGTCCAGAATCCGGCGTCAGAGGGTGTTATGCTTCATCGATTGCTTTCCCAGATGGACTGTTTCGTGTGCTGTGTGAGATCATCTTTCCATTCAAAATAACGAGCGCATCTTGTGTTTCATCACGCACGCCTGCATTCGTCCATCTTTTCTTGTCTCCAGGCTGGGCTACACCTACCTGAGACTGAAAGACAACTACATGGAGATTTTGAACAAAGACGACGAGATTGAAAGGTCGGTGTGCCAAGCGGTTGCTGCGGTTACACCGCAGGATAAGGTAGCACCATTGATTAGAAAGGATGGCGGGGGTGCGGGGGAGTTGATGCAACGGGTCCATCATAAATAAGAGTTGTTTTCAAATATATGTCGTTCATTTGACTCACGTCCGATTTTATTGGACAGGGCAGTGTTGTGGATGTAATGAAGCGTGTTTAGGCCTCAGTCTGCTTTTTGGTTCTTTGGCAGCCTGTCAATAGCCATCTATTTTAAGGACCGGGGGAAGTGCATCAACAGATGACTTGGACTTGGATGAGCAACATTGCCATACTTTTATTCTTTCTTAGACGTTCAAGGGAGCAAATTATTCATGTAAACATTATACCTCGATGGGAGACACAGTGGAAGACGGTAACCTAATAACATTTCCACCTACCCACGTCACATGCCCGGCCAACTACATCATCCGAAAGGGAAGAGCTTGTATGAATGCACTTTGCAATGGTCAAGCACTTGTGACACCCTTTTCTATCTGCGCTAACAAAGGAAATTACCAAAAGAAAGAAAATCACAACCGTACGCACAGTCAAACTGTGCCTTGCGCTAGACGTGCTCCGGCCACGAAAATAGGGCCCTCGGGCTTAACTTTAACGTTGAATGGCAAAGGTGTAGTGTGAAGGTGAGTGGCCGCTAACATCTCACTTTTTTTGACATTTCTTAATTGTCACACAAATGTTAAGAAAAAAAAACAAGTTAACCAGTGCAACACATATGTCGTGCTGACTTCTTACGTGTTATCACGTTCTGGTTGGTTCAGTCAAGTCCTGAGTCACATTTCTCCCCAAAGTTTAGACATTTTAATTCCATACACGCATTTATAGGTTACTTAATCGTATTGAGTTAGGATGACACTGCGCTCTATTTAAGTCACTTGATGACTTCCAATGCATAAGAAGCCTCCAGGAACATCTGTTTAGTTCCATCGATCAAATCCATATCAGACTGAAGAGCTTTTTAGTCTTTGCAGAGTTGATTCATCAAGAAAGAATGGCTTTTTTCCTGAGTGCATAGTTGGCCTAAAAAGAGATGTGGATTGTCCTTCCTCAAAAACAGACAGTGAATTAAATGATCCCCCCCAAAAACTAAACAATTGATTCAAAGAGTTCTTTTCATGCCAATGTTTGCTTTCCCACAGGTTTGAGCTCCTTCATGTACTCAACTTTGACTCTGTGAGGAGGAGAATGAGCGTCATTGTTCGGGCGAGCTCAGGTAATTCGCACTGGCACGTCATCTCTGTCTGCGAAAAATATTCACGCCTGCTTTTGAGGTTGAAATGCTGGGATGACATTTTGTTGTTTGTAAAACACAACACTCGGAGAAACACATGACTTGGTACAAGAGTGTTTCCCCCAACCATGACTGAGCCGCGGCACATGCTGTAAATTTACATGAGCAAAATTTCACAGCACACGAGCGAGCAAAAGTGTCACAAAAAGTTTACTTTATATACTGAAAACATATTTTCTCGATTTTCGTCACAAATGTACCCACTCAGCGTGTGCGTGCCATTATTCTGTTGTTCTGTGTGAATAGCAACCCGGAACTCTTTTTTCCCCCACGGATACGTCTTGAAAAACCACTACGTCTGCCTACCCATGACAGATTTTTACACGTACACACACTCACACTCATCGTTTTACTTCTGTTCATAGTTCATGTCATACAGATAATTTTTTTTTTTTTTTTTTTGCTCTCGCGAAAATGGTTGGCATGAAATGAGTTAAGTGTTTCTATAACATGCTCGTGCTACTTGTTCGCGTGCTCGTAGGGGAATACTTGCTCTTCTGCAAGGGCGCCGACTCCGCCATTTTTCCTCTGGTGATCTCTGGCAAGGTGGAGCAAGTGAAGGCGCGGGTGGAGCAAAATGCTGTGGTAAGTGCCAAAAACGCGACGTGATTTCTCACAGCCGCTCAGCAGATGATGATCATGAAAACAAACTGTGTGTGGTGGTCGATATAAAGTCAAACTGAAGGCATAGCAGAATTTATTTATCATGACTGTTTCAGCCTGAAACTGGAAAACGCAAATGTATTATTGGTATGAAGAGGTTGATTAAGTCGGTTAAATCCCCGCAGAAAAAGGCCCCGGGGACCAAATGCACGGCGTGGCCGCTGTATTTAAAAATGAGACCTCAATGAGTGCCCTATAAAGAATCAAGACCACGAATATGCTTTTTTTTAACCACAGTCTGGCTAAAGAGTGCAGTTGTGCAGATTAATTCTTGAATGTGCAATTTGAATGATTCTGAAGGCATAGCATCAATGAGAGTCCCTGAGCGGCTAATGGGCTCATTCATTTGTCACCATGGAAACAGGAGGGCCTGCGAACGCTGTGCGTGGCATACAAGAGGCTGTCGGAGTCCGAGTACCAAGAGGCGTGTCGGCATCTGACAGACGCCAAGCTGGCCCTGCAGGAGAGAGAGCAGAGACTGGCTGAGGCTTATGATGTCATCGAAAGAGACTTTGTGCTCCTGGGTGCCACGGCGGTGGAGGACAGGTTGGCTGGACGAGCGCAAGAGGAAATGAGTCATGAAGTTAATCATGTTAGCATGACTCAGTGGGAGAAGGAAAAAAAAAACATGGCTGGTCAGTTGCCTTTGGGCAAATGAAAATTGTTTGGCCTTGTCGAATTTCAAACTCTCTCAGTGTCGTCCCAGTTTCTTTCTGGGACAAGACAGAGTGTATTGATTATGAAGCAGCTCTCGAGATGATCAATTGGTGGCCTGATAGTTTGACCTCCAAATAGATAAACTGGAGATGGTGTGGTCCAGTGGGCAGTCACACATTGATAAGTTAGCGCCACTCGCTCATGGATTGATTAGAGTTTTGATGAATGCTTTAACAGCCACTACCCCCACGCACCCCCTCCCCTTTGCTGGAGGCGGTGGCATTTATTGACTTATCGATGCGCAGGCTCCAGGAGAAGGCGGCAGACACCATTGAATCGCTGCACAAAGCGGGAATGAAAGTTTGGGTTCTGACTGGCGACAAAATGGAGACGGCGGCGGCCACCTGCTATGCCAGCAAACTCTTCCGCCGCAGCACTCAGATCCTGGAGCTGACCAAGAAGCGCACGGAAGAGCAGAGTCTGCACGACGTTCTTTTTGAGCTCAACAGGACCGTTCTCAGGCAGAGATCCATTTCTGGGTGAGGGCCGTAAATTCTCCGTTTTGATTGACGTTGTCAGAGAGGTCCTTGTTTACGATTTCTTACTGTGGTTGTGGTTTGCAGTGGTGTACGACTGCGTTGTAAATAAATACTCTCAGGAAAGACATTTTAAGACTCTTGCCCGACACACCCCTTTTCCTGTTCCTGTTCACTTGTTTCCTCGCTGTAAGTCTGTAGACAGAGGGAGCAAGCCCTGTCATGAACTGAGAGCAATTAATGCACCCCTGAAAAGGTTGACAATTGCCTACAGATGCCACAAGATGGCGGCAAAGCCCTACATAAAACACAGGTGCGAAAGATTGGAACCTCTCTGTACCGTGCTAAATGATTTCAAACTCCAACCACAATAGTTATTTTAATACTTTTCTGACAGCGTCACTCCAAAGTCAGCCTTAATGTCTTCGTTTGGGCGAAATATAATGAAGCGATCTCAGTTGATTGATATTAAAATGTCCCTCCAGGTTGTCTGTCGACTGCCTGGATTTCGGTCTGATCATCGACGGGGCCACGCTGTCGGCCGTCCTCACGCCCAAGCAGGACGGCGGCGCCGGCCACGGCAACTACCGCGAGATCTTCCTGGAGATCTGTCGCAACTGCAGCGCTGTGCTGTGCTGTCGCATGGCGCCGCTGCAGAAAGCGCAGGTAAGCGACACCCAAACGCACACCGCGGGGTCATGTGGCAGGCAGCGTATTTGAGCCAGTGGAATTATTCACTTTATCAGATCGTGAAGCTGATCAAGGCCTCCAAGGAGCACCCGATTACCCTGGCTGTTGGCGATGGAGCCAATGATGTCAGCATGATTTTAGAAGCACACGTGGGCATCGGTGAGCTCATTTTCCTCCTCTTAAAACTACTGGACCTGTTGTTCTGGAAAATATTTTGCAATTAAAAAACATCTAGATTGCAGTGTTATTCATTGCGGTTTTACACAGCTGCTAAATGCAATCACAAAAAGAAATTGTTAAATGGATAACTGCCAATGTCAGTTCAAAAGAAAAAAAATGTTTGTGTGTGTGTGTTGTGGATTTTTGGCGGCCGTCGTGATGTGCAAATGTGTGGCTGATAAATAGGAACGTCTGTGCTCATCGACGACCTTTCATGTGTGAGCCACCACGGCAGTCTGCTGTGTGCCGCTAATGTAAAGTAAAATTAAAGTGCTGACTTCGATTGACGTTGTCATTGATGTTTGCGCACCGGCGCGGCCGAGCGGTGATCAATCTAAACTCATCCTGCGGTCAAATTAATTGAAAATGGAAGCGCCCTGCCTCAGTTGTCCCATATTTTGACGATAAATATGTCTGTATGTGGCCATTGATTGCGTCTTCCGATTTCAGGAATGAAAATGAAGACAGCCAAAATGGTTATTGCTCGTCATTACTCGTTATGTAATCGATGAAGTCCTGCTGCAGTCGCTTGGAATCCGTGCTTCCGGTTTTTGAAATTGGAAAATGTTACATCATATGCGCGGGTCTAATCTTATGTTCCCTACACTTAAGCACGTGTCGTGTTACAATATGTTTACGACACACTTGTGTGGCATATTTATGTTTTCATGGTGAAAGTTTGTGAGACGAGATGTCAAAGTATTTCGTAAATGTCAAGCTGTAATTGGAATAGAGAAAGAAACATTGATATAATTAATGCTTCATTTGCCTTCATCTTAATATTCCACAAAGTATAATCTAGAATAGATCTGATACTGTATTTGTGGCCATAAAAATCATTTAATTGCTTATTCGTTAATAAAAAAGACATATATCACTGAAAAGGACCTTGGAAAAAAAGAATTGCATATTATCAGTACATCGCAATCGCGATTTTTAGCGGGGGTAAAAAAACAATCACAATTAGATTATTTTCCATAATTTTTCAGCCCTACCTGGTCGGTGTACAAAATCATTTAGGTTTACCGTGTAAAAAAATAAGCAAATGAAGTGCATTTGGATCATTATTCACTGGTTTATGTGTGTCCTTGTAGGGATAATGGGCAAAGAGGGTCGCCAGGCTGCCAGGAACAGCGACTACGCCATCCCCAAATTCAAACATTTGAAGAAAATGCTGCTGGTTCACGGCCACTACTACTACATTCGCATCGCCGAGCTCGTCCAGTACTTCTTCTACAAGGTAGCCGAGTTTAAACCGGCTGTGATGATCAGCGTGGGTGTGTTCCGTAGCAAGCTCTGAGTCATTTTTTAACAGTCCATTTTATTTTTCACTTCCCACTCAGTCGGCTTTTTAGGACACCGTAGACGTGTGTGGATCCTCATACGTACTGTTTTCAATCTTTGCAGAATGTATGCTTCATCTTCCCGCAGTTCCTGTACCAGTTCTTCTGTGGCTTCTCCCAGCAGGTAAAGTATTTCACTTGTCAAGTCAGCTCCGTTCATGGTGCGCTACCAGAAATGAGCCTTTAATGGCCTTGGCAATTTGCTCATCATGTAGCGAGCAGATGTTATGCGCGCATGAATTTAGCCGAGAGCTCTTTGGGTTCCTGACTCTCATCTGTCCAAAATGGCACCTCCTAGCTACATGAAAATGATGAGAGCCTTCCGAGCACTAAACTGTGTTGTGCTCTGTCCCACGGCAGCCTCTGTACGACACGGCCTATTTGACCTTGTACAACATCAGCTTCACGTCACTGCCCATCCTCCTCTACAGTCTGGTGGAGAAGCACGTCACCATGGAAACGCTTAAACGAGAGCCCTCCTTGTACAGGTGCAACTACATCCACAATATATTGTTCCTGCGAGTGTCAATTATGTAAAGGTATTGGATGTCATCATTCATTTTCGTGAACTATTTGTCCAGTTTTGATGCCACAACCTTCTTTAACTCAGGGACATCGCCAAGAACTCCCTCCTCCGCTGGCCAGTCTTCCTATACTGGACATGCCTGGGCGTGTTTGACGCCGTCGTCTTCTTTTTCGGTGCCTACTTCCTGTTTGACAACACCACCTTCACCAGCAATGGCCAGGTGAGCCTCTTCGAGAGCAAAGGTGTCTAGAAATACCGTATTTCCCTGCATAAATGGCCTTCGATGCCCGACCTCATCACTGAGAGCCATTTGAAGAAATAAACACCACAACAATTTCCTTTATTATAACTAATATGAACATGTGTCATTTATTTTGCATTCTGACCCATTTGTGATTGAGGTAGGGAATTTCTCACAATACAGCGACGCCTTATCCGTGCGGCATAGCGGCCGAGATAGACATGAGATTTCCATTCATATGACAGTAGCATATCTCTCTATATTATTAATTTGTATTTGCTTTTTGATTGCCTCTGGTCTTCTTTTTTTTTTCAGTTGAAACATTCATTCATTTGACCTTTTTGTCTTGAATTATTTTCTCTTTTCTTCCCCCTTTCTCTCTGCTTCCTCTCGTTATTTTGCTCCTCTTCCTCTGTCGCCTCCTCCAGCTCATGACCACCAACACGCAGATGGTAAGGCTGTCTGTCGTCCTCCCCCCAACCCCCTGTTTGCGCTCACAACCCCCTTTTTTAGTTTTCAGTCCCATCTTCATTTCAACGTGTCATTTCCCGGTGCTCCATCCTTCCATGAAACTCTTAGATGCTTCCTCACATGATCCGTGTGTTTTGACGTGGTAGCAAATAGAATAACACCTCAGCATATGATCTGACATCGCCTTGTCAAAATGCGTCTTTGTATTTGTCTGTTTGTGTCCATTCAGTTGCACAAATAATCTTTGCTTAGCCACGAGGACTGCACGAAGAAATATCATTTTCAATGAAAATATTTGACAGAGGATCCTCTAATCTTGAACCCATTGACTCCCCGGTGGTTCTCATTTCAAAACAAATTTTTCACCTGTCCGGTGAATCAATTCAAACTGTTTTCATCATAAAACCTTCATGAACTGTAAACAGAAGATAACCACTGTGAAATTAAACTGAAACTAAAGCTACTCACCCCATGAGTATGCCTCACGAAAAGGGACCATGAGGGTGTTTTTTTTTTTCCGAGAGACACGGTCACCTTGTGGTCTTTTATAGGTCTCTTTGGAATTCATACGTGCAGTTTCCTGGCAAGCTTCTGTGGTCATTTTCATGCTAGCCATTATTCTTTTATCTTCCATATCTTGGTCAAATTGATTTTTGTACAGTGTGTAACCGACATTATTTTAACTGTGAAGTTCATGTGTGTGGAAATGCATATGTGAACGGACATGTACTGCAGGAACATGTATCACATGGTGCAAATCTGCAGGGTGTGAATGATTGTGTGTGTGTGGATGTGTGATCTTTTTTTCTCACGTTCTGCTTTGTTCATGAAACTTCAAAACCAATAAATACATTGGAAAATAAAACAATAGGCTTCTTATTGCACCTCCTATTCCTGTGCCACAATAGGTTCAGTTTGGGGTTCTGTGGCTTTCCTCACACTTCAGCAACAGAGGTTCCTTTTTTTGTGGTAGCATAAATCAAAAAGCTAAAGAAAAAGCACATACTAATCTCCAACACAGTGGATGACTCAATTCTGCCAATTTCACCCATGGTGATGGTTTGACTTTTGAGTCATGTGTTTTTCAGATTCTTTTTTTTTTTTGCTCGTACTGTATTGTACTGAGCAGACCCATTCCTGGGTTGCACCACTGCCCATATTGGTTTCTACTATTAACGACAACGTTTTCCTCTTTGCCATCAAGGATACCATTTTGTGTCGTATCACAACACACACACACACACACACACAGCCAAAGAAAAAGGACAAATTAACTAAAGCACACAAGAAGGCTAGTCAAGATGATGGTTTGAACCAAGTTTGCACCACTCGAGGCATTTTCCACAACATTTTGACTGAAATGACGGGACCCACTGTATAGATGTCAAAGTAATAAAATAATAACGCTAACCCAAACATGAATGGTCTTAGCTAGCCCATTTTTTACTGAGCTTCTCATCATTGTCACTAATGTGGAGGAATAAAAGACAAACTTTTCACTAATCAATCATTGGAATTGAGTCATGTGCTCAATTGTCAAACCAATTGTCTTCTCCCTCCTTTTCTCTTGCAGATGTTTGGCAACTGGACCTTTGGGACTCTTGTTTTCACAGTGCTGGTGTTCACCGTGACACTTAAGGTATTGTATCCTATCACGGCTGCACTTTCAATGTTCTGCTTATGAAAAGTGGATGATGGACTGCACACGGCCGTTGTGCCTGAAGGCAAAGCGATTGATATAGATAATTTAGAGAGTGATTACAGTACACACTCTGTATATGTTGTGTTTGTCTAGCTCGCCTTGGACACGCACCACTGGACATGGATCAATCATTTTGTCATCTGGGGCTCTCTACTTTTCTACGTGATCTTCTCTCTTCTCTGGGGTGGCATCATTTGGTAAAGTTTGATTCGCATTTTCATGCTCCAACAACTACAACATCAATCCATGCATCATTAGAAAACTGAACCTCAGCCATCTCTTCACGTTGCATAGGCCTTTTCTCAACTACCAGAGGATGTATTACGTCTTCATGCAAATGTTGTCCAGCGGGCCGGCCTGGCTTAGCATCATCCTGCTTATCACAGTCAGTCTGCTTCCTGATGTCATCAAGAAGGTCCTCTGCAGGGCGATGTGCCCCACAGCTACAGAGCGTGCTCAGGTGAGACCTTGAAGAAATGGATGTTGATCTATCACTGTTTCCCTCGAGAGTAAAATTGTAGTGTCGTAGAGACTTAACAAATAAAACAATAGGCTTCTTATTGCACCTCCTATTCCTGTGCCACAATAGGTTCAGTTTGGGGTTCTGTGGCTTTCCTCACACTTCAGCAACAGAGGTTCCTTTTTTTGTGGTAGCATAAATCAAAAAGCTAAAGAAAAAGCACATACTAATCTCCAACACAGTGGATGACTCAATTCTGCCAATTTCACCCATGGTGATGGTTTGACTTTTGAGTCATGTGTTTTTCAGATTCTTTTTTTTTTTTTGCTCGTACTGTATTGTACTGAGCAGACCCATTCCTGGGTTGCACCACTGCCCATATTGGTTTCTACTATTAACGACAACGTTTTCCTCTTTGCCATCAAGGATACCATTTTGTGTCGTATCACAACACACACACACACACACACACAGCCAAAGAAAAAGGACAAATTAACTAAAGCACACAAGAAGGCTAGTCAAGATGATGGTTTGAACCAAGTTTGCACCACTCGAGGCATTTTCCACAACATTTTGACTGAAATGACGGGACCCACTGTATAGATGTCAAAGTAATAAAATAATAACGCTAACCCAAACATGAATGGTCTTAGCTAGCCCATTTTTTACTGAGCTTCTCATCATTGTCACTAATGTGGAGGAATAAAAGACAAACTTTTCACTAATCAATCATTGGAATTGAGTCATGTGCTCAATTGTCAAACCAATTGTCTTCTCCCTCCTTTTCTCTTGCAGATGTTTGGCAACTGGACCTTTGGGACTCTTGTTTTCACAGTGCTGGTGTTCACCGTGACACTTAAGGTATTGTATCCTATCACGGCTGCACTTTCAATGTTCTGCTTATGAAAAGTGGATGATGGACTGCACACGGCCGTTGTGCCTGAAGGCAAAGCGATTGATATAGATAATTTAGAGAGTGATTACAGTACACACTCTGTATATGTTGTGTTTGTCTAGCTCGCCTTGGACACGCACCACTGGACATGGATCAATCATTTTGTCATCTGGGGCTCTCTACTTTTCTACGTGATCTTCTCTCTTCTCTGGGGTGGCATCATTTGGTAAAGTTTGATTCGCATTTTCATGCTCCAACAACTACAACATCAATCCATGCATCATTAGAAAACTGAACCTCAGCCATCTCTTCACGTTGCATAGGCCTTTTCTCAACTACCAGAGGATGTATTACGTCTTCATGCAAATGTTGTCCAGCGGGCCGGCCTGGCTTAGCATCATCCTGCTTATCACAGTCAGTCTGCTTCCTGATGTCATCAAGAAGGTCCTCTGCAGGGCGATGTGCCCCACAGCTACAGAGCGTGCTCAGGTGAGACCTTGAAGAAATGGATGTTGATCTATCACTGTTTCCCTCGAGAGTAAAATTGTAGTGTCGTAGAGACTTAACAGTCGCTAATCCAGCCATGGGCAAACTAACGTCCAGGGGGCAACATGCATTTTCTCCTTCTAAAAATAATTAAAATCTATCTATCTATCTATCTATCTATCTGTCTATCTGTCTATCTGTCTGTCTGTCTGTCTGTCTGTCTCTATACTGTGTATGTCAGAACTGGTTTCCCTGTTTTTAATTAGCATAGACTTAGCTTTCTTTGAGCTAGCTCATCAATTTCTTGATGGCTTTTGTCAATATTTTTGATTGACAAGGGTTTTCCTGTCCCAGCATTTAGAAAATGCTCTGTTGCATAAATGAATTATTCATTTAACAAAAAGTTCCCTATTTAAAAACAACATTTTAATGTGTGGCTAGTTCAGTTGCTTACTAGTTTAGCTGCCTCTAATTAGCATAGCTTTCTAGCAGCTTGATGGATAACGTCTTGGTGGCTTTTGTGAATATTTTAATTGGCAGATGTTTTTTTTCTGTACTGACCATTTTCTTTGTTCCACTTAAAATACATTTTGATAGTTAGCTACTTCATCTGCTAGTTTAAATGTTTATCAAGGCATACGCTTAGACCGCTAGCTACTAGCTCGTAAATCTCAGTGCCTCAACATCTTATTGCTCCTGAAAATGTACATTGACCAACCTCCACTTGAGAAGAATGACATGCTGCTTTCAACCGATTAGATTCCCTTGACTAAAATATAAAGAGAAACTGTGAATTCATTCCTATTGCTAATTCCTCACTCTAGTTTAGCCTACTTTGAAGCACACTGGATCATGAATTGGGGGCAGGCGATGAATGGAAGCACTGACAGATTCTTTTTCTTGCTCTGCTTCTTCTTTTCATTTCTAATGAACCACCATAATCACATTTCCACCCTCCACTATCGTTTTTTTTTTCTTTCCCATTCTGCCCTTCGACGCAAATTTCATTCCTGTCCTCCTCCCTCCATGTCTTCACCATCACCAATGCCACCCTGTGCACCCCCGCAACCCATGGTAACCCAACAGTCCACACCTTGCCCGTGCCTTACCGTGGAGCCCTCCACCATCTTCATGCTTTCTCAGTCATCCAGCAGAATGAGTTTCTGATTGAGCCAAACAGACGAAGGAGGAGCAAGAAGCGCAGGTGACTCTTTTAAGGCCTCAACTCCTGTATGCATGCTGGGAAAAAAAAAACAAAGGAAAAAAAGCACACTCTTTTACGCCGTCTCTCAGCATCGCCTAACTGCAATGCGATAGGTGCAGCTGATTCTTCCCCCTTGCCTGCCTATTATTGTATAGTGCAGGGCTTCCCAAACTTTTTTAGTTTAAGACCCAAAATACATAACCATAACATGAACGTATACTTATGCCCTCACATGGAAAAATATTTATTTGTTTTGCCTAGCATAGATCAATGAACATACCTGTACAGTATTTTAATGAATAAATATACATTTTCTGACAAATTAAGTGAAATTGCACCCCTGATGATCTGTCATGGCACACTAGGGAATGGTTGATCTATAGCACACAATAGATGGGAATCAGTTCATGGCAATTGGCGAACAAATCGAAGTCCACACCATGCCTAAGTTTGGGAAACCTGAATAATATAATGTTCCTCTGCTCTGAATCCCTTCTGTTGACTATTTATATGCATGCTTCCCATTTATTGCTTCCCTGTTAATTTCTAGGGTCTGAAATGTTACAAAACTGAAAAAAAAATCATTTAATTGTTTGGATTTACTTAATTCAGACATGTACATCAGTTGCACAGAATTAAAATATGGTTAATTAACATTTGAATATTTTTGAGGAAAAGAATTGGGTCCATTGACCACATTTTAATCATATGCAACCGAAAGTTACATATGTTTTATTTCTGTGCAATATGTTTACCGGTGAACTTTTAAATGTGCGTAATTTACTTTTTAAAAATTTGTTTACTTGGTTTCACTTCCCCACTCAAATGACAGGAATTTTTTTCTCGATGATTGTCATCATCGTCATTAAAAAATTAAATTAATTGGTGGATTTTTTTTTTTTACAAGTTGCACTATTTTTTAAATTTCCCTTCAATAATGTTTTTTCTTGTTTTTAAATCACCCAGCCAACGATTTTTTTTTTTATAATCGGGAAAGGGGGGGGAAAAAAGCGTTCTTGTTCTATGAGGAACAGGGACGCCATCTGGTGTTGGAAGATGGAACTGCAAGTGGAACTCCAGTTTGTATGATCATGGTGACTGTTGATGAAATACGTCAATGATAACAAACTGGAAACTTGATATTATTCGACGTTTGGACTTGTATTTCTATTCGTAACGCTACTTTGGCATCGAGAGAACCTTTCAGGGAAGGGTCTTTCTGAATGGGATTATGTTTTCAAATTGGTGTCGTGTTTGTGTCTGTAGGATTGCGACGTGACCAAGTTGTCCTCGCACCACTCCTACAAAGGCGCAAGCGTCGACTCCTCTCAGCTGCAGCTCGGCGCCATGGAGACGCTGTCGCTCCGTGCCTCCGAACCCCTTCCGCAAAAACTCTTGGCGCACTTGGCGGAAGGGGGGAGGGCAGACCTGCGGTCCCTCAGCCCGTGCATGTTCAGGCTTTCCGGGGCGGGGATCGCCTACTACGCTCCTGGGCCAGAAACGTCAGTTTGAAGCCCAAACTTTAGGGTGAGCGTTTGCAGAATGGAGCCTCATGGGATGTGTGGGCGGCCATCTTCATCTCAAGGGTGAGAATTTATACAACACACAAGCTCACCGTGTGCATTTCTGGGCTAGTGACTACTCGTTCATTGACAGTATTGTCCAAACATCTCATGTTCATTCTTTTGCTTTTCTGATGGCATCGACATCGTCAAAGAACAAATGGAGGTTACAGTCCAGCCTATTTGTACAATGACGTCTTCATATTATTTTGTGTCAAAATCTCTATGTATATATGTGTATGTTCACTATGTGGTCTGGCCAGGTAAGGGCTGTCGTCCAGCTCGGCCCTTTAGGTGTGTATGTGTGTATGTATGCCTGCGTGCATGAAGATGCCTGCACTGTTTGTTTTCTACGTGACACACCTTTGCCTTACAGGTAAACCACACAGCAGCAGGCTAGGAGCCAAAGGTGTTAAAAAAAAGAAAAAAGGAAAAAAAAAAGAGAGGAAGTGGCGTATTATTACAAAGCCTTACACACACATTAACCAATCCCGCCCTCTCGCCACACACACCTCATCCTACTGGAAAAGGAAAAAATAAGAGAGAAGGATGTGCAGTATTGTCGCCACCCAGCCTTAATTCAATACATGCCCGCTTATGGTAGTTTTTATGGGACACTTATATTCACTATTCCATCTGGCGTCTGTGTCCTTGCGTGTCTCAACTCTCTGCATGGTGATGTGTTCCCGGGCCGAATTTTTTTCTGTACCGTGTCGGCCACGTGGCACTGAGGAGTATGAAGGCTACACCGAAAAGTTCCACAGAAAATAACAACAATCATGTTATGAGAATCAAATCATATCATTGCAAAAAATAAATAAATACAGCGGAACCTCTGTTTTCAAATGACCAAGTTTATGAAAAGAAAAATTTAAACAAAAATAAACACTTCCTTTGGTTTAGTAACAGTCTTTTGCATGCTCGCGGGTGTCACGTTGCATGATGGTGGAGTAGGAGGACCACAAAAAGCAGGGAGGAGCAGGGTGGATTGACCAAAATGTATTTAACAAAAATGCAAAACGGGAATACACCGGAGAAACTAACTCATAAACTCATTCAAATAAAGTCCAGAAAAATCACAAGAAATCAAAGTCGCAAAAACACCTAAGACAGAAAACAAAACATGACACGTGCACAAAGCAACAAACAAACAGCAACAATGACCTGACAGCGAGTGGTTGTGCCGAGAGTCCTTTTAAACAAACAAACTAATGACACAATGACCAACAGGTGTGCAGCTGCAGGCAGAGCCCTACAGTGCCACCTGTTGGTCACAACCAGAACCATGACAGTGGGACACTCAGACCTCTGCAAAGCTGCGTTGCATTGTGGGAATTGCCATTTAGTGCTAACAATCACCACACCGCTCATGTTATGACTTTTTGGGTGTACGATTACAACCCTTTTTAAGTCATAAAGTAAAGTTATGACTCCTTGTCTCCTTTTTTTTTCATAAATTGACTTACTTTTGTAATACTACCACTTAATGATCATAAAATCCTGACTTTTTTCCGTGTTGCTGTGGCCCTAATACTCCTTAGTAGCACTGTGACGATTACGCATGCTCTTAAAGTGACCGTCTTTTATTTCCGAAATGATTTTGCGCTCTTTGTATGTTATGCAGAAACTAATGTCTCGTCTGAAAGATGGCCGAGTACGTGTTCCTCTTGTTGGCCGTCACAACTCATGAATGGATGTACAGTAACTTGACACTTGACGGTGTATATCGTACTCAGCAGGAAGACTTGAATAGGCGACATCACAATCAACCCAACAGAATGTCAAACCAATTTGTCCGTTATGTTATCCAGCTGACGAATGTAGCTTATTCCGGCTCAATCTATTTTGCTTCTTAAGAACACAGTTCATTTTTTATATGCATCACCATCTACCAACGGGTATAGATTTAATACACACACACACACACACACACACACAAAAACAGTAGTTCTTATTGTAAAGATTTGATACAAGCTGAGACACACATAGTCTGTTTTGATTTTGGGACTCAACACCCTGACCTCATTGACACTCACTGTGCTGTTGCCATATTGTATCCAGTATTTGACATGCTCCTCTGCTTAAATACCGGGCTCATATTTTTGGATACCCAGTTAAGATTTGGTTGTACGCCACACGTTCACGTTTTGTGATTTATTTTTAAAATTGCGTTTGGAGGTTTCAACGTGTGCCAAAAAACTCTTTTCACCTTCAGTTGTGGCAACTTTATAACCTTTTTTTTTCCCAAAGGGTGGAAGAAACTGTAATTTACTTGCTGTAACTAATTTGTGCTTTCATCTACTTGCCCATTGGAAAGCATGAAAAAAAAAACTGTTATCTGCGGCTACATTGTGGATGTCTACAATCCATTTCTACTACTTTCTTTGTATTCAAAGGCCAATGTTTTTTTTTCAATTTTAACTTCCACTTCAACATTTAATTGTTCTTTCATGAACGTTTGTCATGAAGTTCAGAAAGAAAAATCCAAATGAGGTCCAGTGGGGTACATTGCTATCATCTACAATTAATTTCTCCTTTATTTTTGGGCATTTGGGGAATAGTAGTTATATATTTTCACTTCCAGTTCCACTCACATTGTGCTTTCATCCCCTTGTGAATTTGAAAGCATGAAGAAGAAAAAAAAAAATCCATGACCCGGTGCGAAACATTGTTCGTATACAGTAATCTATATTTCAAATTTCTTTCATTACTTTTCACTAATATGGCGTTCCAGTGTTGTCGATTAGGATGTTTTGTGCATGTTTCCTTTGCTAGTTTTGTATATCCCTGAAAGAAGATTCTATTTTAACTATTCGAATGTGGGTTCAAGTTTACCAAAAGGTTCAGTCGAGATTTATCAGTACACACATTGCACTTTGTGGTACAGATCTGTGTTCACCCAAAAATGATCTGTTGTACATCAGCTCCGGGCATGGGGGGTTTATACTGTTAGACTTCCTCACAAGTTATTTTTCTAAGACGATTGTAGTGGGTGAAGTGACCAAATAACTTGAAAATGGAACAAACAGGCCTCCGTCTCAAATGGTTGTTTCTCACCAGCCTATTTCTTGAATGTCAAGGCCGCTTCTTCTGAAGTCCATCAGCACAAGCGCAGCAGGCATTCAAAATGCTGACATCTCCGAGCATGACAAAGGATGTGCGCGCCTGTGTGCGTGCGTGCGTGCGTGCGTGCAACAGCACACCCGTTATTGCAGCACTGTTTGTATTATTATTATATATAACAGGTTTTGAGACGTTTTTTTTAAAAAAGAAAAAAAAATGGTTTTGGTTTTCCTCTTAACTACTTTGCAAGCCTGTCTGTAGCAAATGAGGGATTAATGCACTGTATTGTCATTTTGCTTGGAATAAAGAAATGGTTGACATTTCTGACTCTTTTTTTTTGTTATTATTAATTCTGGTGGATTTAAGTTGACTTCTCTATAATATAGTCTCAGTCCCGACCAACATCTGGTTGGAATCCGTCCATTTTCAACACGACTCATTCTGAACCAAAAATGTGCTTGTTGATTTGCAAATATTACACAATAAATATGACTTGCCTAAAAAAAAAAAAAAAAAAAAAAAAAGGTTGCCAACATGTTCCTAATCTACATACAGTTTACCGAAACAGAACGTCCCGAATGAACGGGAATTTTCATTTACCTTTAAAAAAAAAAAACACCATATCCCGTGTTTACGGTGACGTCATTATACACGCGACTGAACGTGTTTACTTTTCGATGCAATCGAAGGAATTGCGTTTTCGAATACCAACTAAATGTGTCTGAATTCAGCAACAAAACAAAAAAACTCAGAAGAAAAGCATCCACCCCAGAAAGACATCGCAAAAAAACAAGTTGTGTGCTCAAGTATGTATGTTATCAACTGCCATTAAGATGGTTTACTTAGTCCTGTCTACCCATTGTATAGCAGTCATGTAATCGGCAAAATAGGGTAAAGTGCAAAGCTCTAGTAATTGTGTCAACTAAGCTATCATTTCTTTCAATTAAGATATATATTGACACCATATCATCGTTTTTATCGCTGTTGGCTTGGTTCTTGGTTGATGTAACGATGTAAGTGCATATTTTGCCCACAAGATGTCGCTATTGGATCACAGGTGCGTATGAGACTGCAGCGGACCTCTGCTTCTCCTCCCCCAACCATTGTCTGCGCAGGCTTGCAGCATCACGCGAGTCACTGATGTGCGAACGAGGCTGCATCATCACCCTGCTTCAGCTCCTCCCAATCTTCTCCCATATCCTTCCTTTCCCCACCCCACCCCTGGCCGAGGACGTGTCCCGGCATCCCAGGCTGTGTGACGCGGCGTCAGCATCGCTCAATCATCCGAGGCCTCCGTCATCAACCGTGACATACACTTCATACACGCCCTCGGCATCCATGTTTCATACAAGACCGCTACCAGGAATACACATCACTGGTTAGACCCTTCTGATTCCCCTGCATCCCCTTCTCCTTCCCATCACCATCCCCCACGCCCCAAAACACCACCGCACCACTCTCTCCAAGGAGCCGTCCGGTAAAAGCAGGCAAGCTGTCTCTTCTCCCCAGGAAAGCTTCTCCCTGCTGGGCTGCTGGTCTCCCGCTGCCCCTCTGGAGGATGATCCTGTGGATGAAAACGGAGGAGATGGATGTGGGGGACCTTTTAGAAAGGCTGAGGACGGTCACCAGGAGTATAGGTGGGCCACAGCTACACACACCCATACATACACAAGAGCATTCTCATGCATTTTTTAAAATGAGACCATAACTGGTCAATATAACAACATGACCTACATTTTATTACCTGTAGGAGGAAATCAATGGACCGTGTAAAGATGTGTCGATGCAATCTGAAATACAGTTTGGCGGTTAAATTCTTATTTTAATGTCCCAATAATAATGAAATTAGTGTATTGCGTGCGTTAAACGCTAACTGATTTTGTCCCGCATCCATCCATCAGTCACATTGGGTACCCCTGCACTATGTAGGTCTTTAATGGAAGTGTATCAAAAATTCTGCCTTCACAAAGACAATTAGTCTTGCATTTCATTGTCAGGTGCCTACTAATAGGGATTAGTCTTCATTTAATGTATCATTTGGTATGTTTATCATGATATTTGTGAGCTATTGTACATGTAACTTATTGTCTCTGTATCATATGCTTCCAAGTGATACATCGCTTTTTATTGTGACAGTCATTCTCTCCTAAAACTAATGCTCCTGATAGAATTTCTAACACGTAAACAAAATCAAGCACTCAATCACGGAGGGTTATCTGCTCGAATAATATGCCGTTTTTTTTTGTAAGTGATAGCGACACATAATTTGCTATGTGAATTTAATTGAATTCTCCGGTAGGCCGTAAATGGCCCAGGGGCTATCGGTTCCCCACCCCTGCTTGACACTCACGTATTCGTCGTTAAAGACAACGGTGATGTGAATGTGCAGTGGCTGGATGGCGAGAGCAGAAGAATACAAGCTTACGATGATCTCACGAGACAGGAGAGAGCATGAGAACGCGCCCAAAGAAATTCAGGGAAGTCAGAAGAAATTATTGAAGTTAAAGACCCAACACACTTTTTTAAAAAGTGTGGGTGGATTGGACGCAACATTCTTACATCTCTCCACGTGACCATATCCTTGTCGAGGAACGACAATTGCTGCTATTCCCAACCTTTATTTAGCCAAGGTACATACATTTTACTCTTGAAAAGTCTCAACGCACACTACCAAAAAAAAAAA